TTTGGTGGCATCTGCAGGTGCTTTTGGGGTCAGATGACCTGTGGAGGTGAAATGCAGGCTCTGGAATTTGAGTGAATATAAAGTCATACTTGAGGACAATTTGGTGGAAAAGCCCGTCTCGATCAGCGGCTGTGAGGCCCAACAGCCAACCTGTGAAAACCCTGAAACAGAGTTTTGAGCAGCCTTTGTGCCTCACTCTTAAGCACAAGCAAAAATCAAAGGCCCAACAGAAATAGTGCCTGCTGTCCTCCTGCCTCCACAGCTTCCCTCCAGTTTACCCTCCCTGTCTGACCAGCTCCCTACAGTTGGAGGGAATAGAGGTGGATTCCATCTGTCCCTTTCAGTTACCTGACCTACAGTTGGTCAGGTAACTTTGTCACCATAAGCCTCTTGTTCTGAAGCTGCAGGCCTATCTTGCCTATTAAAACAGTGCCTGCTGGGTGCTGGTGTTTCACGCCTGTAAGCCACTCAGGAGGCAGAGATCAGGAGGATCACAGTTTGAAGCCAGCCTAGGCAAATAGTTTGGGAGACCTTATCTCAACAAAACCCATCACAAAAATAGCTGGTGGAGTGGCTGAAGGTGAAGACCTTGAGTTCAAACCCCAGTGCTGCTAAATAAAATAAATAAATAAATAAAAGGTTTGTTTTTGTTATTCTGTCTCTGTGCCATCTTATAAAACACCTCATTTCTTTTTCTGGAGTGTGTCTGTTCCCTTGGAACTTCCCTGCTACACATTCTCCCATCCCTTTCTCAAATGTACTTCTAAAGGTTTTGCTAAAAATATTCTGTTCATCCCTACTGGCCCATGTTAAGTGCAGCTTCCTTCAGTCACCCTATTCTCACTGACTTCTTCCTTCTCTTAAACATTGTAGCACATATGTGCTATTGCACTTTTTGTCACTTGTCATTTAGGATCTGAAATTATTATTTTTCTGGTGGTGATACTGGAGTTTGAACTCAGGGCCTCACACTTGCTAGATAGTCACTCACTTGAGCCACATCCTAGCTCGCTCTTTCTTTCTTTCTTTGTTCCTTTCTTTGTTTCTCTCTCTCTCTCTCTCTCTCTCCTCCCTCCTCCTCCTTCCCTCCCTCCCCTTTCCTCCTCTCCCTTGCCCTCTCCTCCCTCCTTCCCTTCCTTCCTTCCATTTTTTTGATAAGGGCCTCATGCTTTTTTGTATGGGGCCAGCCTGGACTGTGATCCTCCCGATCTTGCCTCCCAAGTAGCATGGATCACCACTACGATGTGAAATTCTTACCTATTCATGTGAAAGTTCAGATTTAGCTAGAATTTAATGACCATGCACTAACTACCGGGTACTATGCTGGGCACTTTCACACTGTCTCTTCAACTCGCCATGACAGTCTGTCCTTTTGAGAGCTTGTTTTATAGCTGAGAAGTATGAGGCCCAGGGAGTAAAGCCCTTTGGTTGGGCCAGATTTCATGTACTGGTCTCGACTCTGCTGGGCAGGGCTTCAAATTCTGTCAGGCACCAGCTGTGGGAGGAGCAGGTTCTGGCCTTGGGATTTAGGCACTGTGTCAGGGCACAGAGGTTAATCTTGGAGGTCATTCTCAGCCTGAGTCACCACAATGGGAGTATAGCCAGGACTGGATGGGTGAGTGGGTAGGGTCAGGGCCAGGAAGGGGAGATGAGCCCAAGGAGGCCTTTTTCTGGCATTATCTTCATCCATGAGGCATGTGGGAGTTGATAAGCTGTACTGTTTGACCCTGAACTAGGCTTTTCCCTGGACGTTTGGTTCTTCATCGGTCAAGTGTGGGATTTTAATGAAGAGCCAAGTTCTCTTCCACCTCAGGCCTGCTCTGGTCCTCCTGTCCCCACCTTTCCTTGTCTGGTAGGTGTGGCTTCATGGCCAGTCCTGTCTGTGAGGCAGAATACTGCTGTGGTATGTGGGAGGCTCCCACGCTATTTGGTTGTTTTTCAGTAGGGAATAACAAAAAAGGCCACAGCATTTAGTGTCATCTTTAACGGTTCTCTGGTTTTGTTTACCGGTGTGTACTCATTACGATTACAAGTGTGTCACAAGGTAGGGCAAGGGGTACATATTCTCTGTCACTGTTTGCTTACAGATATTAAAACTTTTGATGTTTGCTTAGTGTGGTAAGACAGGATTTCCATTTTGTGAACGTGAAAACCTTTCTCTGCTGCTGTGCACCTCTCCCCGTCCTCCACCCTTCCTCCTTCCATTTCTTTTCTTTTAATAAGAGTTCCTTCAGGTTGACTACTTCCAGTAGTAACTTATCATTAGTCAGATGAGCTGTATAATACCCCTTCTGTGGCTACCATGCGTGTGAAGCAGAGAAGACGCCCAGAGCCTGGAACCCAGCAGCCCAGTCATGTGGAGTCACCTTGGTTCTGGGTGCCAGTCTGCTGTCAGGAGAGCTAACAGGACCGGGGGCAGGCCTCTGTGGGGACAGGCTGACAATAAGCTCCTTCCTGTGTGTGCCTGATGCTTTCCAGAAAAGGATGCTACAGAACGAGGAAGCGACTGTGATGTTATTAATTGGTGGCAGCTTTAAGTGGACTGTCCTGAAATGAGAATTTCAAATGTGTTCCCTAGAGGGGCCAGTAATGCTTCATCAATACCTTGAAGATGTGACAGTAGGTAGACAAGGGGGCCCGAGTCCCTCCTGTCCTGGCTGTTGGGGCGCAGGCTGGCCTCTCGTTCAGAGCACTCTCTTTGTTGGTGAGTTCCCAAAGTGACCTCCCAGTGCCTCATTTCCTGCTGTAAGTAGAGCAGAGCTGGCTGGGGGCCCCGTGGGCAGCAATTATTGTCACAAGCAGGAAGTGGTTAATGGCTTCCATTGACTTGTGTCTGGAAGAGGAAAGACTGAGCTCCTTACAATAGAGGCAGAAAGTCAACCACACAGATCATTTCCCCTTCCTTCAGGAGGGAAAGTGGAGTTCTTTCAGGCACCAGGATGACATCTGAAGACTGCTCTGCATCAACAGAACAAGGAAAAAGGGAATTTATTGCTCATGTCTTGAGTCAAGAACTGATGGGTGAGCTGTTGCTGGGTGGCACAACTGCCCCCTAGCCTGTGCTGTAGATGATGGCAGGGAACGCCCATCTCCCAGAGATGTCACTGCGGGCAGCTGGTGCTAGTCTGTAAGTCAAATGCTACTTCAAAACTTAACAGTTACAGAAGGCAGAAATACACGAGGATGTGGAAAAATTGAATAAGCTGAATTATCTCTTTTCATACCCTTGTTTTCTCATATCTATAGTGTATTTGTGAAGACACATCAGGTATCAGTCAATAATTTTAAAAAGCAGAGTTTCTAAAGAACATAGTCTTAATTATAATCCATTAAAAATTAGAAATGACTGTTATAAAGCTAAGGCCCCGAAGTCTTTGACTATGTAGAAAGTAAACTCCTTGGTAAGTACTGGATCAAAGACAGAGGGAACAAAAAAAGGAGGCCATAGACAGTGTAGAATGAAATGAAAAGGAGAATGCTTTACACCAAACACATGTGTCACAGAGAAAGAGGTGCCCAGAGGCACAATGTGTGGCCTAAAATGTCTTCACTGATGAAGAAGTAATATGAAAAGTTAAGGTGATGATAAAGTAATCATTTTTGAAAAGGTTGGAAAGAGAAATTGAACCAGAAGGAAAGACAAGGTAGAGAATATAAACAAGCTGACATGACCACAGCTGAAGTAAAAGGAAACCATTAGGAAGGCATATAACATTTAAATGCCCATTCTTAGGAAGGACAAAGCATAGAAAATCAGCATTTTCACTCAATGGAATATTTGTAGCAGAGTTGAGTGAAATGTTCACATCAATTGAAAAAAAATTGTATTATGGTATGAGTCTGTGAATACAATTCAGACCCCAAAGTTCTGAAGAGAATTAAGTCTGTAAAATATGTATCAAAATACCACACTGGTGGGGCTGGAGGTGCAGCTCAGTGGTAGAATACTTGCGTAGTATTCAGGAGATCCCAAATTCTATCCCGGGCACTGCAAAGACAAAAACGAAAACCTCCCAGTCGATGCAGTCCCAATCCACACTACAGCTCAGATGAATCTTGGAGCCAGGGTGCTGAGTGAAAGAAGTCAGTCACTGAAGACCTCATGCTGAGTGCTTCTGTTTATATGAAGTGGATAGACAGGCAAATCTACAATGACACAAAAGAATGAATAATCACCTAGGGCTGGAAGGCTTGGAAAATGACAGTACCAGGTTTTCTTTTGGGGTGAAGAAATATCACACTGTGCAAAACTTGTACAACATGTGAATACTAAACACCTTTTGAGTTGTGTACTTTTGTGTGTGAATTGTGTCTCAAGAAAAACATCAGAGCAGTCACCTTGGGGATGGAAATATGGGTGATCTCCCTCTGGTTTTCCCACCTCTTCTTTAATCTCCAGATACTCAGGTTTATTCTGTATTACTTCTTTAATGGAAACCCCTAATGAACCGAACACATTCTATAGGAAGTAGAATTCCTTTAACCAGGAAAGACAATGACTAAAGTCCACTAGCCTACTTTGGGGGAAGTTGAGGAGAGCAACTCTAGTAATTCTAAAATCTGGGGCTGGTTGTCGTGAGTGGCTGAATTGCCCATTGCTGTCACATACATGAAGTGTGGAATAGCCATTCTGGAGCTCGTGCTAAATGACACGTCTTTTGACTTGGGACTGTTGGGGAGCAGGATCACATCTCTGGGAAAAGTGGGCATGGCTAAGAGGCAATTTCTAGTGGAATATTCTCAAAGGTGCCGGGCTCTGTGAGTGCTAAATCAGAGAAAGCTGTTACTTATATAACTTCCTGTTAATTGCCTGGCAGTAGCTGTTGCTGAGAGCCGCCCTCTCCTGTCTTGGCTGATCAGAGGCCACACACCCTTTGCTCCCCTGCAGCTGGATCACCTCCTGTGTCGGGCTCCATGCATGGAGGCAGCTTTTCTCATCAGAACAGAAATGCCATTTTAAATAGAAGACTCCATCCTCATTTTTTTTTTTTTTTTTGAAGATGGGAAATTCGTACGCCGGACAGCTAAAGACTACACGGTTCGAGGAAGTCCTGCACAACTCCATCGAGGCCTCCCTGCGCTCCAACAACCTGGTGCCCCGGCCCATCTTCTCCCAGCTGTACCTGGAGGCTGAGCAGCAGCTGTCCTCCTTGGAAGGTAGGAGATGGGTGTTTCCTCTTGGTGCATTTTCACTATTACACAGTAGTGCTCTTAATGTTAGTGATGGCTCCTGAACCTCTTTCCTCTTCTGCCCTGGGGGGGAAATGTTGAGTCTAGCAGAAAGGAATCATTAGAAAAAGAAAGGTGCACACAAGTTCTTACTCGGCTAAAAACAAAAGAAGTTTCAGCCTTGAAGCTGTAAGGAAGACAGTTATTTGCTGGATGAACAGAAGAAAGGGCTGTGCTAGACTGTTCTGGAATGGCTGTTTTTTCTACTCTAATTGGAAGGATTGACATTTTTGCTTTGATTAGTAAGAAATTTTTGCATGCGTTGGACCATCTGCTGTGTATTTTTTCTTTTTCCTGTGTTTCATCACAAAATCAGCTTTGCAAAACCAGCTAGGACGTTTGTCTTTGTGAGAATAGGTACAAGACTCCTCTAGAAACTTAAAACCACAAGTAAACCTTTATGGAGTCATATGTCCCCGTAATAAATAAATGAGTGATCTTCAGACACAGAGATGACTTTAGGATTTACCTTGTCCAGGGAATAAAATGATTGTATTTTTTTTATAGCCATGTTTTTTTCATGTCTAAAGGAAGCCCTCAGCAGTATACAGCTACTGTTTTGGAAGTTCTTTTCGTAAGTTCATGCCTTTGACATGAAGTTGCATGCAAACATCATTTAGCTTTTGAAGTAAAAGGGATCATGGTTTAAAGCAAAAATTAATTAACTGATTAAATAAAGCAGTATGGTGGATTACAGTTGGTATGTGAGTGTGTGTGTGTGTGAAGGAGAGAGAGAGAGAGAGTGCAAGAGCAAGCTGGGGAGAGTTGTACATTAAGAAAAATGAGTCATAGGCAGAGGTCTTCAAGCAGCCCTGAGCTGAGTGATGTGTGTCTGAAATTCCCTACTCTCTCAGAGAGGCCTTCCTGGGTCACTAAAAATTGTCCTTAGTAAATTTACCTCACAAATGGCACAGCTAAGGACCTAAAAGAACTGGATCTGTGTCTACAAAAAACTAGATCGTGACCCAAACTGCACATTAGGAAAACCAAAACATCTCTGGTATTCATGCAGGAGCTGCCAGCGTTCTCCAGCATAGGAAGTATTCCTGGGCACCACAGGGAATAGGGAAATCACTGGAGCGCACATTGGAGACCAGTTGAAAGGATTGTGAATATGTATTGCACGGTCAACCTTATCTACTGAGGGATGAAAGCATTGTTGCTTTCAAGGTCAATTCATAATCGAGATCATGATAAATAATCTAGTACATACGAATGGTTCCTTGAAATCTACAAAGTCCTTTCACCTCCTAATGCATTGCACCCGTGATTTGGGAAGAAAGAGGTATGGGACTGCAGGAGTGACAGAGTTGCATCCTCAGCTTGGCAGCCCTGAGATGGGCAGGGGTGGACAGCAGCTGAGTCACTTTGGGGCTGCTCACATGGGGAGCGAGGATTCCCAGGCTACTTCTGCTGCTTAAAGATCTCCAGGGCCTGCTTTGCACTCCCCCCCCCCCCCAGATGGAAGGCTTCCTCTTCTCAGGATGCTCTTATCTCTATGGGACATGTGGCACTTCCAGCAGGGACTTTAGGGTTTTTTTTTAATCATGCTGGGGATGGAGCCCAGGACCTCCCACATATAAGTCAAGGGCTCTACACCACTGAGCTACATCCCAGCACCCTGGGTCAGCACTGAGGCTCACAATTTTCTTCAGGTGCTGGAGCCTCGAAGACTCCCTGCCAGCCATCAGTGGGCTTGCTCAGCCATCAAGGTAGTATGAAAACTGGAACCAGCTCTCTCTGCATTCCTCATCTGTCTAGCAAGCACACAGCCATCCTCTGAGATTTTTTTTTTTTTTCTGTGCAGGAGTGGGGCTGAGGGATTGTCAGGAGGGTGAGATTCTTCAGTTTGCTAAATGTCACCATAACCCAAGCACTCAGCTTGAGCTGGTCTTCTGTATCATAAACCTTTGTGCCAACAGGGGTGTACAGGCCACATCTTGTTTTGTCTGTGCCTCCCTCAGGGTCTCTTATCTCATTGCTAGCCTTCCTCAGACAACACCCTGACAGATAATAATTATGCTGGGATGCCAAACACCCTGGATCTGTTAACATTTTATTATTTGTGGGGATGACATTTGTTAACTAAGCAGGATGCAGGTAAATGCCTGTATTCTCTGGCTTAAAATGCCAGACAGTTTCTTCTGATGGGAAGAAAAGGGAATTGAGTGTAAACATGAAAGCGAGTACCCCGTGCTCCTGGAATCAGGGGTCTACAGGGTCCTGGGCTTCCTGTGTTTTACTATTACCGCCCCAATCCCCCAGCCCCAGTGTTTTTGTCTAAGGCCACTTTAAAGCTCTCATCCTGCCAGGAGACCTCAGTAAACACGTCTGTTTAGTCTGCTCTGAGCTGGAAATGTCTCTTCATCTTGTAGCTGGCTGAGGACCCCATCAAAGGCTCTGGAATGTTTGGTGGAGACCTTTGACCTTTAATCCTGCCTTTTTACTGACTGGATTTGGAGCTCTTTTTTTTTTTGGTTTTCAGAGGGTTAAGACCCTCCACTCTCATTTCTGAGAGTCTGAATTTCTGTTCTTTTTGGCCTAGCAGAATAATACACAGCTGGTCCATGTGCCCCCAGTGCAGAAGGCTGCAACTGTAGGGGTTCTTGTTTTAGTCCTGGTGAGGCTTTCTGTCCCTTTCCACCCTAGAAGTGGGTGTCTACATCACCCCTCTGAGTCTTTTTGAGAACTGGCTCAGAAACAAGAGTTGACTTTGCAGACAGAGCCTCAGTGTCACCCCATTCCATGGGGACCTATTGTGGCTGGTGCCGGGGTCTGGTGGGGCTGTGGACCACCCTGTGCCTACTTTAAAGGAAAAAGCTGTCATCAGGAGGACACTGCAGAGCTCATCATCCCCCCCTCCCCACTCACTGTGTTCTTCCTGTGGAGTCTTCCGCAGTCTTTCTACCACCTTGAGTGTCTTCTGGGCTCACAAGGAGCAAAGTACCAGGAATTCTTGCATTCTTGCTGCACTTCTCAGCTGTTAAACCTCTGTGGGCCAATCGTAAGTCCTCTGAGCCTCAGTTTCTTTATTTGCAAAATGGTCTATGTATTACACCATGGTGCCTCCCACACAAATATTTTTGAATGCCTACTATGTACAGGCTCTGCACTCAGTCCTCATCAAACAATTATATATGTATGAAACCCCTAGTGTTTGCAGACATGTGCAACTCTGGTGGATGGAAGAGAAACAAACTTGAATTTGGAGTCATGAGCCCAGGCTCTGAGCCTGAGTCTGTTTGCAACATGACCTCGAGTTAGTCATCCAACCTGAGGGAGTCTCAGCCTTTCCTTCTAGTAAAGAAGGATCATTATGCCCAACTTCTAGAGTGTTCTTAAAAGGACTGATGAGTTTCCAAGTTGCTAAGACCTGCTGAGTGCTTATTACAAAGCAAATGGTGTTCTTTAGGGATTGGTCCATAGGTCCTGTGTCCTTGTGGAGTTCAAGGCTCCAGGAAAAGGAAAAGACACTGGAGGAAGCTTTTTGGGTCTGGATGGCAGCTGCCTTAAAAACCATCCCTCCTTTTTCCCCCCACATCCAGGTGGCAGCCGAGTGGACAATGAGGAAGAAGAGGAGGAGGGGGAAGGAGGTTTGGAAACCAACAGTCCCCCAAATCCCTACCAGCTGCCCCCTCCGCCTGAAGGATGCTGCACCACAGATGGTAAGGCTTTGCCAGCCCCCACCTGGCAGCACCCAGGCCCACTGTCCAGAATCTGCCGCTGGGCATGGCCAGGCCTGCAGCTGTGTGCCAGAGGGATCCTCTTTGCCCCTGAGGTATGAGCCATTCTGTTGGCCCCTAGTACCTGGCCTGTCCAAGACAATGAGCCAGCTCATAGCCCCCCAGCCACTGTGGACAGCCTCATCTTTAAAAATGGCTTAAGATCCAAACAGTCATTGTTCTGTGTTGGTCATTTGAAAATTGGAATACAGTCTGCTTGCACAGTGTACTTGACTTGGGATGGATCAGTAGGAATCACCCTTCATAGCTATCAGTACTTTAGTGCTGAACCATCAGATATGGGTCATCTCGGTAACCTGGGAAGTTGGTAATGTTATTCCCATTTTGCTGTTGTGGGACCGAATCCTGGAGATGCTGGGGGAAGGGGGGAAGGGGAGAAGGGGAGGCTGCATTGCAGGCCAGCAGTGAAAAAGCTTGCACTGTGCAGCTGGAGAGAGATATGCATGTGCAGACTTCAGGCTCTGCTGCTCACTGGCCCAACAGCCTCTCTCCTGCTACTGACTGAGTTCATGTGTCCTTCAGCATACCAGCCAAGGGTGTCACTCACTATGAACTTAGTAACTAAGTCCTATGGAGCCTTTGCACAGAACTCCGGCTTGAAACAGTATTCTGCATCTGGTGTGGTAAGAGCTGAGTGGGGGCAAGCTGGGGAAAGAGGGAAGGTTTTGAACACAGGTGGAGAGTTTCAGGGAGGCTTCCTGGAGGAGATGGGCTTTTATGTGGTTGGTAGAAGATTAGCAAGCGTTAACCCTAGACTGTTGGGGTGGGAGAGACTGGAAAGTTCCAGAGGAAACAGGATGGGCAAAGACTTAGAGGGGTATGACACAGCCTGCTTGGGGAGTTACAGTTGCTTTATGTAGGGCCTGAGGTATGCTGGACTCAGAGAAGTGGTCAGGTTGGTTGTGGAGGTCCACATACTGTGCTGGGGGCCTGCATTTGGCCCTGAGTAAGCTGCACGGCAAGGTGGCACTTCACTCTCTCTGAGGCTGCTGTTCTTGGGGCAGGGAATTGGTACAGTGGCTGCTTGTGAGGTAGAATTTCTAGTGTTCACCAAATGAAGCGATAAGAGAATGATGAACTCTCTAGTGGTCGTTCGTGTGACGTTACAGAACTTCCACGTTCTGGACTGGGGCTGCCCACAGCTGCTTGAGGGACACTCTCCCCAGGTGGATGAGTCTCCACCTGGGGACTACCCCAAGCCCAGCACAGCCAGGCTCCCGTCCTGGAGAAAACGCCATGTAGATGACAGCCCCAAGCAGCAGGAGGGGTGTCTTAACTTCTGCAGAGAAGGCTGGTGCCCTCAGCTCCTGGGGCGCTCAGGTCCCCCACTTGCTCATGATGGAGGAAGCCCAGGAGGTTGGTTGCACCTCTTCTAGAACGAGACTCTGGAGTTGACCAAGGAAATTCCAGCTATTTCTTTCTTGTTCATTTTTTTTTTTCCCAGATAGTTTTGGAAACTTATTTTTTGAATAGGAAATGTATTTAAAAGCTTTAAGATACAAAAGGTTCATATAGAGAAGAAGCCTCTCTGTGCTCTTGAGCCCTCTCTATACCCTGGACCACCTCTTCTAGAACGAGACTCTGGAGTTGACCAAGGAAATTCCAGCTATTTCTTTCTTGTTCATTTTTTTTTTTCCCAGATAGTTTTGGAAACTTATTTTTTGAATAGGAAATGTATTTAAAAGCTTTAAGATACAAAAGGTTCATATAGAGAAGAAGCCTCTCTGTGCTCTTGAGCCCTCTCTATACCCTGGACTCCAAGATCCCTCCCAGAGGAAGCCAGTAACCTGATTCTTACCTCACCCTTGACATCCATACAAAGTGCAGCATAAAAAATGATGTTACTCTCCATGTCTTATGAATTTGCCCTGTCTACATTTTAATGCGCCCTCATTTGCTAAAGTTATTTTTCTGTTAAGAGTCATTTGCACTTAGTGTGTGCAAAAAGGATATACAGGTATAGAGAGACACCTATAGACAAATAATTAATGCAGTCAGTGTCATGAATAACCATAACTTTTTCTCAGACTTAGTGAATTTGAACCTAAACCTGTGATAAGGGCTGTTCCTGACAACACCTGGGATGCTTTCCCCTCTTTGGCCCCGTGCCCTTGGTTCTGGGAAGTCCTGGGCAGTGTGTGAGCCCTGTCCACCCCTCCTAGGGTTCTGCCAGGCTGGGAAGGACCTGCGCCTCATCTCCATTTCCAGCGAGCCCATCGATGTCCCTGTGGGTTTCCTCTTGGTAGGGGCCAAGTCCCCCAGCCTGCCAGACCATCTCCTGGTGTGTGCAGTTGACAAGAGGTTCTTGCCGGACGACAATGGCCACAATGCCCTGCTTGGTGAGTTCTTTCTTACCCTTCTCTATGACTCCATCTGCATGTGGGGCAGGATGAGGGGGGCCTTAGTCAGTGGTGGTGGTGGCCATGGCAGTACAGAGGCCACCTTTGATGTCATACAACTGTATATTTTTGGTAGACAATTTCACGTGGAAATGGATTTATTTTAAAATGTGGCAGCCCCCTTGTAGAAAGGCCACAATTTAGTATTAGGTTTTTCATAATTTGTTCTTCAAACCTGTTTTGCTAAGTGCCCATCCTGGTTAGGAATGGGTCACAAACCCTATACTCCACAGGTTCAAAAACCAGCTGGCAGGAGAGTGAGGCCCAGTGTTTGCTCCTGCCTCTGTGATATTCATGTCTTGAGTGACCCAGGCCCTCTAGCTCAACCCCTCTGGTTTACTACTCAGTACCTCACCCCCCACAGTGGCCTGTGCTGTCTTAGTTCTATAGGTGGATTTGGATCTGTTAATGAGATTACCCAAGGGCACACGAATAAAGAAGACAGAGCTAGGACCCAAAGTCAAGTCTTCTAGGCTCCAAGTTCTACCCTTTAATCACGGTCCCACTTTGGACTTTTGTTGTGGTCAAGGTCAGGATGGAAAGCTGTGGCTTTCCATTCAAGCCACAGCACTTCTAGCCTTGAGGCCCCACATGAGTCAGTGCAGAGTTGAGGCCAAGCCTGACCTCACTTGTTTGGATGACACTGTTATGCTCTTGCTGTGTGCCAGGCCTTTGCTCTGTGGGCTCCCCTGATGTGCAAGGGATGTCCTAGGTTTGGACTAAGAGCCCAGAGATCTGGGTTCTAGTCCTGCACCTCCTCACGGTGCTCCATGTGGCCTCGAGGCCTTGGTGTCCTCATCCATGCAGTAGGGAGGGGATTCCATGTGAATTCCCAGTCTTTGGAGGTCTGTTTTTGTCTCTGCCCCTCACGTGGCCTGGCATCTCTGTGTAGAGAACTGGGTGGTGGAAGGATTGGCAATGATCGATTATTAGATGGAGGCTCAGGAACAATATTGTAGAAGGGAGTTTGATTGTGAGAATCTAACTTGGGTTAAAAAAAAAACAAAACAAAAACTTTCCTTATTTCCCACGTGTATTAGCATTTAAACCTCCGGTTTGAAGCTTGATATGACCTCAAAAGCTGAGTTGTGTACCCAAAAGTGATATTTTCTGAGTACATTGAGATCTTTGGTGTTGTTCAAGAAAGGCATGAAGGATGGAGGGAGGGGAAAATAGCAATGGCCCAGAGAAGAAAGGAAATGGTTCTTGCTGTGAAGACATGGGGGGTACACTCCAAGACAGGCAGGTGAACACTCACTGGAGGAACAGAACAGCCTGGGGACAATGACAAGGGAGATGGAATCATTGAATCTCAAATATGGTGGGGAATACTGCCCTAATGGCCTGAGTGGCGTTTGATCTGGTTGTGGCTGGGGATCTGTCTGAATTCCACCACTTTGTGACTGTTAGGGAATTGCCAAGGCAGTAAATCAAGGAGGTTCTGCCTGTTGAGCTGGGGAGACAGGACTCTCTCAGCTCCTTCCCCACCAGCCCGAAGAGTTCTGCCTCCCCAGGGTCAGTGCCCTGGAAGCAGGAGCCTTGTTAATTGTTTGCAAAAAGCCCTCCGGTATGGGTATGGTGGTGGGCTGCTGGTAATAACCGGTGCTTTCTCTTTGAAAATAACTTTATGTTCTCAGTTTGCACACTTAACACTGTTTAGATTTCCTGCAATTAACCCCGATGGCTGCACAGGACAAGGTGGTCCCCAAGCCCTGTGGAGGCCAGGCTCAGTGCTTTTTAGTGACCTATAAAACGGAGTCTGTAGAATATCTTTGGGGGAAGCAATGTATTGAGGAGTCTTTTTTTTTAGTGACTTTGAATGCACTGAGGGATTTGGTCTGGGAAAGCTGAAAAGCTAGAATCTCAGAGAGAGAGAGAGAGAGAGAGTACTCATCGAAACTGTCTGATAGCTTAGATGTAAGAGGAGAAAACACACGCTGCTAGAATGTCTATTCTAGATAAGAGTAAATAAATCCTTTGTTCAGTTAGCAGGTAAATAACCAGGCACACATTCACTGGATGTATAACCTCAAACTGCAGGCTTGACCTTCAGCTCTGGGGGAGGGGACCCAGCCCTTCCATCAGGACTTCCCTGTGTGGTGGGGAGATAGACAAACAGACTCAGCTCAGAGGTCTACAGCAAACAACCACTTCAGTAAACCTTCGCCTTATCTTGGTATGCTCTTACATGCTGGAGGTCATGCGGTCTCTTAGGGATGGGAAGGTGTCTCAGAGGAGGGGAGGTTTTTCACCAGGCCCTACAAAATGGGTGACTTTTGCTTGAGAATAAAAGCAGCAGTAAAACATTAATTGAAGGCAGTGTTTATTGAGGATTTCTCATTTGCAGAAACCATTCTAAGTTAAGTTGAAATGCCCAGCAATGTGGGTGCTGATCTATACATTTCTATATGAAGCAAAGAAAGCACAAAGAGGTTTGATGCCTTGTTTAGGGTCAATGAGGTGGCAAGTAGCAGGTCCTGAACTTGAACTCAGGTGATCTGGCCCTGGGCTCCCCTCCTCCAGTATGAAGAGCATCTCAGGCAGCAGGAACAACGGTATGAAGAACTTGGTGTGTCAGAGAAGTGGATAGCACTCCCGATGGCTGGGGCTAGATTAGTGGGCAGAGACTGGGGCCATACTTGGTCCTTCTGGGTGTGGTAACCTTACTTCTTTTTTATCCAAAGAGAAATTGAGACAGGGGAACGAGTTATGAACTTAATTGCAGGACTCAAGAGAATGACAGTGGCCTGAGAGTTCAAAGTCTGGAGCCTTGTGACATTGTTTTGCTTAACACCTCTGCCACCTCCAGCCTGCCAAAAGCCATGTGCTTGGAGGTTATCCACCAAATCTGAAGGAAGTCACCTGTGGGTGGTTCCTGTAACTTTGCCCTGGAAGGAAACACAGAGTCATTTAGCTCGAGCTTTCCTTCTGTGGTTGGGAAGCCACAACACAGAGAGTCTGAGTCCCTTCTTATCTCTTGGTGCTGTGAGGGGAGTCCCTATTGCTCTCCACTCTCCTACTTGACAGTTTAGTCCCAGAGAAAGAGAACTGCCACACTGAGTTCCTGTACACATAGGACACTTAACACTCACACTGCCCGTACAGGAGAGACTTGTGGGAGATGGCATAGAAGAGTGGTTCGTATACAACTCAGCACTTCCCACCCAGGACCCAGGGGCGGATCACTTCTTCTCTGCACCTCAGTTTACTTATCTGTGAATGGGAGACATGATGACAAACTGTCTCGTAGGGCTTCATGAGGTTCAAATGGGAGAGAATGTGGGTGAGATAAGGTGCTTGGCACAGGGTAGGTGTGCAATAAATGTTAGCTGTTGTCATTTTGTTGACAGACAAGGAAATCAAAGCTCAGAGATGTTCACTGACTTGCTCAAAGTTTGGGCATGCTCAGTGCAAGGAACAGAGAGGACAGCACATACCGATGCTGGTATGTGGCTCTGACCTAAGATGGAATGACCTGTGTAGGCATGTCAGCCAGAGCATATGACAAAGTAAATCAGTCTCAGCTTCGCTTCAGAGTCCTCCTAACCCAGGACATTGGACCCACAGAAGCTGGACATGCCAGCAGTGGGCGGAGCAAGGTCTTCTTGGGATAGCTTGAACAAAAGCAATTGCCAGAAAGAGGGACCAGATAATTCTGTGTCTTTTATTAAGCAACGCTGCTGCATAAAGTTCAAGTGGGTTTTAGTTTATAAAGACTGAGGGTATAACGTCTCACATGAGAGGCTTTGGTTGTCACCACTGCCCAGGTGCTCTGTCCAGAGCCAAGAGCCAGTGGGAACCTCTATCAGCACCTGGAGAGCCCTGCAGGAGGACATTGACCCTGAGACAGACACCGTCTCCCACAGTGCCTCCACTCTGCTGGTGGCTGCCCCGCCAGAATTCACACCCAGGGTTTTGTACATGGTTTTTGAAATATGCCTCTAAGTAAGTTAAACCTTCTAAGCTTGCCTGGGCCCATTTCCAGTCCAGGATTGAGTCTTCTTGTTCCATCTGTCTGCATGGAGACCATCTTGACTCCCGGGCCAGTCGGAGAGGACAGGGCCCTTTGCTGTGTGGCACTGTCTGGGTTGTGGCACAGGACGTGATTGTTCAGAGTTTCGATGAACTATTTATTATTTGAAGAAGGCACTGGAGGGGACTTGGAGAGGGTCACGGTTTGCTTCCTTCTCCAGGTTTCTCTGGCAACTGCGTTGGCTGTGGAAAGAAGGGCTTCTGTTACTTCACAGAATTCTCCAACCACATCAACCTGAAACTGACCACCCAGCCCAAGAAGCAGAAGCACTTGAAGTATTACCTGGTCCGCAATGCACAAGGCGCTCTCACCAAAGGCCCCTCGATTTGCTGGAAGGGCTCAGGTGAGGAGTTTGGCTCTGGAGGGGGATGAGGGTGCTGGGGAACGCACCCCTCAGTGGGCCACTGCACCTGTCAGTGTGAGGCTGGGGAGGGACCCCTATCCAGTGACACAGATTGTAGCCAGAAGGCTGAGGCACATGAAATAGAGAATGCTTCTGGGTGTTGCAGGTGCTCACCAAGTTTGTTATAGTGACAGACTAATTGGAAGGGATATTTAAATGTTGACAAGGGCCACACTTACTGTGCCTCTTTGTGGCAAGTATTTGGGGCAGTGGTTCTCACTTAGAGGCAGTTTTTGTCCCCAGAGTACAACTGGCAATACCTGGAGTCAGTTTCGTGACCAGAGGTTGAATAATGCACCTCCACCTGGTGAGGCCTCGAACCCTGCTAACTGTGAGCAGAAAGACCAGCTCTGCCTTGCTGGTCCCTGAGGAGGTGACCAGCTTAGGGATGGAGGAAGAAGCTGGTTATTCCTGTACCTTTGGGCAATGCTCTTTCTCCTTGGACTTTAAGGACAGTTATCAGATAGCTCATTTGCATGATCTTTGTTATTCCTCCACCTGAGCACCGTTGCTCCTACTTTTTTTTTTTTTTAATTCAGGTCTTCCCACTTGCAAAGCAGGTGCTCTACTGCTTGAGCCACACCTCCAGCCCTTTTTGTTCTTGTTCTTTTGGAGAAAGGTCTTGTTTTTTACCTGGGCTGACCTGGGCCACAATCCTCCTGACTTCGTACTCCCAAGTAGCTAGGATTCCAGGCATAGCCACCAGCGCCCAGCTTCTGACACTCAGAGTTGCCCCTGGAGTGGGGCCACAGCAGAGTTGTACTCTCCTGCCCCAGCTGCATACTGAAGCAAAGACTGGCGTGGTACTGGCACCTTTTACAGATGTCAGTGTGCCCTGCTCTCGTGTAGGACAAATTCTAGTCTAGGGAATCATTTCACGGTCATTGGAGAAGACAAAGAGTTGGATTTCATGTGTGCTTCTTGCCCTCTTAGAGTTCAGAAACCGGCAGAACTCTACCAACATGTGTTCTAGTTCTCTCTTGTCACCGCTGGAGGGCTCGGGGTCTCTGGCTGCCTTCCCCAGCGAGCCTGTTTCTGGGACGAACGCCAACATCCCATTGGGAGCTCAACAGGCAGGTGAGCTAAAGTCACATGTCTGGTTGGTCTGGTTGACTATGAAGTCAGCATTCTTTAACATAAATAAAGGGTACACTTTCTGTGTGTTTTTTTTTTTCTTTCCTGCAATGCCTTTTTATGTCAATGTTGACTCTGTGGTTTGTAAAAATGCTATGGTTTTCATTTGAAAAACTTTTCTGCCCTCTTATTTGATGTATATTGTGATCTCTTGGTGGGGGGAGGGAATCACATATTAGGACCCTCCTCTGCATCCCCAGCTCATAGCCCAGAACTTGATATAGAGTGGACAAGTCAGTATATGAACTGAACTTCTAGAAAGGGCAGAGAGGACTAGCATGCTGCCATTTGTTGCCTGGTGGGTGTGACCCAGGGCTATGCACGACCTCATTGGATCCTAAAAGGCTCTGTGAGCAAAGCTGCAGTGGTGGGGAAACAGGTTCATGGAAGCTGGGTGCTGGCCCTGGATCCCACAGGTCGCAGAGGCCGGACTCAAAGGTATTTCCGTTTCATCTGTAAAACATGGCCATGGTATTCAGAGACACCAGCCTGCTCATGAGTCTTGAAGCTCCTTGGTTATTTTCTTCCCTTCCTCCTGCCCACAGGGTCAGTAGTGGTCTGTTAGCTCTGGGAAGGACAGGCCCTGGACCTGCCTGTCCCATCCATCATCTGCGGGATGTGCTCTACAGAGGATCCAGGCCCACTTTCCACATGGTGGTCACTGTTGTGGGCCTCCCAGCCTTCCTGTACCCAGGCACCATAGCACCTCCAACACCCTGCCTGTAGAAATGAAAGAAAATCATTTCCTGCCTGCTGGGCTCACAGAGTGACTCTCTTCCCTCCCTCCTTTTTGCCTGCAGGGACAGCCTCTGACCATGCCTCTGTGACCACAGCCACGGCTCCAGCTATCTTCAATGGCAAAGATTCTCCGAAGCACCAGCAGCTGGCAAAAAATAGCCTGCCGGCCCTAACTGGGCCCTCAACCTTAGGTAGCACTGTCTGTCCTGGGGGTCCTGGGTCCTGGATCCTGCTTGTGTCAGGGCCCAGGCCAGAGGGGATGGGGGACCACTGGGTTGGGACCACGGAGTCTCCGGAGTCTAGTGTTGCTTTGATGAGTGTCAGACTGGTTTGGTAGGTGCCTCCTGAGTCCATGGGCCACTGCCCAGGATGGTGTTACGTGACAATTGCATGTGGGAGACATCATGTGTGCTGAGGAGCAGTGAGAGCCCCGAGGTGATGGCAAGTGCCCTCTCTCTTGGGGCAGGGGTCAGGAGGATTGGCAGTTTTGGAGAAATAGAGGGTGGTGTGGTATTGGGGAAGAACTTAGGTGTCAGAATCAGATTAGCATGAATTCAAAGTTGAGCTCTGTCTCTTGTCACCATGGGACCCTGGACTAGCTTCCTGAAATGTTTCCTCCTCTGGAAGAGAGAGTACAATGCTGAAGGCAGCAGTACAGGGTCAGTCAGGTGCTGCTCACTGATGGTACTGGCCATCGTCACTGGCCTCAGACTCACAGCAAGGCTGGCCTATCCAAGTAGGCCACCTGGAGGACATGTGGCTTTCAAACTGAGGAAGTGCTCAACAGAGACTGAACAGGAGGAAGAGAGTGAAAAGGATGGCATGTGTGTGTGTGTGCGTGTGAGAGAGAGAGAGAGGGAGGGAGAGAGGGAGAGAGGGGTTGAGTAGAGCTGCGAGAGGAGGGGCTTGTGGAAGATAATGAGGGGGCTGTGTGATCTGTCAACCTAATGTCTACCCCCATGCTCATCCAGAGCCATGTTCTCTGCCCTCCCTCCCTATGCACACAGCTAAGCTGGAGCTAGGATTAAAGACATCACAGTGGAAAGACCCTTAGGAGTCATCTTTCCTGGGGCTGGGGTATAACTCAGTGGTAGAGGATATGGCTCTGGGTTTGATCCCCAGGGTCACATGAAGGAAAAATAAATGAAAGAAAAGAAAAATCATCCACTAGACATTGTTTGAAGAAGAGACTGGAGTGCAGTGAGGCAGGGCTGGCTGGAATCCATCTTCGCTGTGTCCTGGACTTCCCTAGTGAAAACCTGTGACATGTATTACCCTCTGTCGAAGGAGCAAATATATTTTCTGAACAGAATCTGAGGCTCCCCAGTCCTGACTGGGGCTCCTATTTTGGAGCCTGAAGTGGAGCCTCTGTCATGCTCCTGCAGGAGGCACTCCACCTTCTTTTTGTGTCAGTTTTTTCTCCTCCAGGTGCAGAATTCAGGGCAGCCCTGTGGTCAAGGAGCCTGGCCTTCGCATAGGAGGCTCATGCTGTTGGTGGTTCCCTCTATGAGTTGAGATCTATGGGTGCCCAGCCTCCACCTTACACAGCCTCCCTCAGCCTGAGACTATGACCATGGCTTTGGACAGCCAGTCTGCAGAAGCTCCTTCTAAACTGGGGTGGAAGAGGTTTTGTGTTGTACTCTGAGGAAGGTGTGGGGAATGGAGACCCTCAAACACCCTGGCTACCTCATGCCTTTCTGGAGTCTGCCTACAGTCTGCCTATTGAACCTCACTCCTTGTGAGATTTCCGCTGCCTTGGACAGTGGGCCCCCTGGGTGTCCCTGTCCTCCTATCGGTGCCTCTGAGGCTTTGCTTCACTCTTCCTCTACCAATTAAACTTCCCTCCAGAGCTCAGCTCAGGGCCATGGCCCTCTGTTCCACAGGCAGGGCCCCAGCGGTCCCACTCCTACTCCCACAGCCATCTGTAGTTGTTGGGGTCAGGGCCATGGCCCCTTAGCATGAGAGGTTCCTGAGTGACCACTGTAGATACCTGAGAGCCACAGTACACAGCACACAGTGGCAGCCGAGTAGCCTGGCAGAGCCATGTAGCCTGCCCTGAGTCCTGCACAGGTGAAGGACACAGCGGAGCTCTGGAGTTTCTGGGCCTTCTGTCTGCTCTGGGGAGACTTAACCCCCCTTTTTAAGAAGCAGCTTCTAGCAGTACAAGATGTGTTACCTGAGGCCTGTAACCAGGTGGTTCTCGGTGAAGTGCTGCCCCCTGCAGGTAGGAAATGTGCAGAATAAAACATGGAGTCAGAGTCTGGTGTCCCAGACAAAGGGGTCTTGCAGCTGGTGCTGGGGATGGAGTGGGCAAGACACTGGAAACCCTGCTGCTATAAGTGGGATGTTCAATGAAGAACTGTTTCCCCCACCCCAACCAAATAGTATCTCTCATCAAGAGACATGATGAGAAATAGTTGGTCCATGCTAGTACTAATAGTTGCTCCTGGTGACATTTTGAGAGAACTTATGGGTTTAGGATCCACTTAGAGGCACTGGGGTGGGCTTCCCAGAGGGTTCTGAGTGTCTGGCTCCAACTCTGCCCTAGTTCTGGCATCACTGGCTCACTGGTTCTGACCTGGGGACCCTGTTCAGAGAGTCTGAGACCTACTGTAGCTGGGAACAAATGATGACAGTCCTGCTTCAGTCCTTTAACTTTTTATTCTGTTACTCAGTTTTAGCCAGTCTGAAGCAGAGGTAGAAGTATTTTAGATTGACTTTTAAGGGATGCTTAAAGCAAATCAGAGTTGAGATAAGGAGCTCTCCAGGTAGGGGAAACTGTGTGTCAGATTTTTCAGGAAACCCTGGCAACCAATTCTTGATATTTTGAATCATCACAAATATAGTTTGAGGCTTGAGCATGCTGTTACCTAGAGTGGGCAGGAGTGACTCATCAGCAGCAGTGGGTTCAACTTCTGTTCTTGTTTCTTTTTTCAGGCTGAAATTAGCTTTCCGGGCTGGGGTGGGAGGTGGACAAGGACTGCCCCCAAATGGCCAAACTGTGGTGACGCACTGAATGCCTGACTTCCTGAAATCCCAGCTACTTGGGAGATGGAGGCAGAAGGCTCTCTCCGGTTTAAGGCAATCCCAGGCAAATATCCAACCTATAGATAACAGTGATGATGATGATATGGGTGATGGTGGCTGCCATTTACCAAGTCCAAACCTGCTAGGTGCTGCCTGAAGTGTTGTCTCATAGTTCCTTTTCTACTGATGAAACCACCCTCCAAGTTTTGTGTGTGTGTGTGTGTGTGTGTGTGTGTGTGTGTGTGTGTGTGTGCGTGCGTGTGTTTCTTATTGTTTTGTGGTGGTACTGGGGTTTGAACTCAGAGCCTTGTATTTGCTAGGTAATCGCTCCACCAATTTAGCCAAGCCCCCAGTCCTTTTTTCCCTTAGTTTGTTTATCAGGTAGTGTCTTGTGCATTTACCTAGGCTTGTCTCAGACTGTGATCTTCCTACCTCTACCTCCCAAGTAGCTGAGAGTACAGGTGTGCCCTCCCACACCCAGCCTCGAGTAGACTTTGTTATCTTGTTTGAAAGACTAAGGAGTTCAGACTCAGAGAGACAATGCTTAAATGTGTGCACAACTTTGGAGTGAAATGTTTATAAAAACTGGCAATGTGTTTCCTTTTGCCTTGGTCCTTCACTGGATCCTTTATAAAACCATGATTTTAAAAATGAAATAAGCGTTCTCTAAATCAGGAAAGTTTTATTGAATCTCATTGGTAGCCAAATGGTAGTCTAATCCGGGCTCTGAATGATTCTAGGTATCTTGTCAAATTCCGGGCCCCCTAAAAAACGCCACAAAGGATGGTCTCCTGGCTCTCCACCAGCTACAGATGGCAGCTACCCTCAGGGTGGTGGGAGCAGAGCTAAGTACGGTAAGTGACCACAGCTTTGCCAAAATCCCAAACGTGGGTAGCAGAGGTGCTGCTAGAGTGTTTGTGTGTGTGGGGGGGGGGGTGCGGTGGTTCTAGGGAGGCCGACTTTGCCATAGCAGAAGGACCTCTTTTTCATGGATTAGCTGCTTATGGAGACGTGGGGTCCTATCTAGTGAGTGTTCCCTGATCCTAGCAAGATCTAAAGTGCTGAAAATATGCAAGGCCAAGCCAGTGATATTTAAAGGCAAGTATAGCAGTGTACCCTGCCATGGAGGTAGGACAGCCTGAAAGAAGTCACAAGGAACAGGCAAAATGGGGACCTCATCCCAGTCTGTCCTCCTGAGACAAACCTAACATTCTTTTCAGGGCAATGAAAGAAGGAAGTACTACCAACCACAGTAACAGGCCCAAGCACTGGGAGGAGAGGGAGCCCAGTTCTGGTGACTTGTCCTGCTGTCACTCAAAACCACAAGTAACTTATTTATTTGTTTGACCACAGTCTGACTTTGATTGGGCAAAGATTATCCTGGTCACCTCTATGAAGCATTAACAAAATCGGATTTGCTGGGTTTCGTGCAGGGACTAATGTGTGCCGTGTGGAGGCAGATTTTGGGCTCAACTAAGAAATCCCTTTCCAGTGAAGCCAGAGACCTGGAAATGGGCACCTGTGTGAGGAGCCAGCAGGTCTTGCTGGGTGGTGGCTGTCCCCATGCAGTGCCTGCACGAAGCAGTACATGCATGTCCACACATTTCTGGGTCTTTTGTGCATGTGGCCAACTCCATACATGCAGGAATAGAGGAGGGAGGAGTATGGTAGGAAACTGGAAGAAACAACTGACTATTTTTAAAGAAGAGGGACTTCTTTTCCTAAAACCAACCAAACTTCCTCCCCTCAAACCAAGAACAAAAACGGGTGTTATATTCAGGAGTTCAGGTGCAAATTTGGGCAAGAGATGGGCCAGGATTGGGTCTTCCACTGGCCATGCCAGTTAACTAGAACAAAGACCACCGTTCGATTGTGCTCAGTATTTGTTGCATGGCTGTTCCATGTCTATGGTAGGTTCTGGAAAAACACAGCTATGACAGGCTGCAGGAGGGCTTGAAGGAGGGCAGGCCCTTGCCTGCACCCACTCTGAGCCAGGAGCCCCACAGGCCTGCACCTTACACGTAATGGCCTCAGAAGAGAGTCTCATTGCTCCTCACCTACACTGGGATTCCTGCCATGGGCGCCTTGTAAGGTGCTTGCTTCCCTGACTCCTGACTCACTGCCAGGTGCCTGAACTCCATCAGTGTTCAAAGCCCAGCCAGGCCTCCTTGTTTCCCTTTCTTCTGGCTCCCACGGCAGCTTCTCTGAGCCCCCCCGTACAACCAGCAGCACTCCTGTTGTCTGTGGTAACTCTTTACATGGTCTCTTGGAAGCAGCCATGTTCATTAGCAGTACTGCCCAGTTGTGGCTCTGGTCCAGTGCCCCAGCACCACCTGGGAGTTAGCAGAACTATATAGGCCCCAATTCAGCCAGAGGCTCTGCGGTGGGGCCAGCTCATGTCTTAGCAAGCCTGTCACGTTCAGTGTGTAAGCAGTGTCCTCAAGGGCACGATCTGTGCCTCATGCACCAGATTTACCGCAGAGCCCACACAACACCGAATGCAGCACACCACTGGATTCAGTGTCATTTTGGTGACAAGTGGAAAACTTCTGAGTGCAAGATACCACACACACCTAATGACCATATATGCTGTGGCAGCCTCTGTGAGAGTATTTGACATTTGTACCCCAATTTATAAATGTAGACTGAGGCTTCAAGAAGGTGAACACAGGGCCCTGACACTACCAATGGAGAACAAGTGATTTGACGCCAGCCTGGGCAGCTCTGCTCTGGGCATTGTCACTAGAATGAGTCTAACCTCTACTGAAGCATTGGTCAGGGCTGTCCGCTTCCTCAGTGCTTGGGTCTGGACAGTGATGTGTTTTCCCAACTCAACTCACTACGATCCCTGGGAGGGTGCAAGGTTGGGGTCATGGAGGCAAGGGCTGGAGAAAAATGCCTGCGAGACCCAGCAGGGACTGCACCCGTGAGGTATCCCAAGGTTACTGCTGAGGAGTAACGTTGGTGATGGCTGTTTGGCTCTGGGTGAGCTACTTTTGTGCCGAAGCTTGCTTGTGTTTAAGATGAGGGGGTTGGACGAAATGAACAAGTGAATACTCCAGCTCTGCTTGCTTATGAAAGGCAACAACTGTGTCATTCTAGTCCCAGCAGCACAGAGCAGGTGCGCTAGGTCATTCAAGGGCTGGGTTCTGAGATTTCTTAGAAAAAGGGACCTTGAGAGACCTGGCTATGTCATGTTTAGAGAATTCACATGGGAGGGGCCATAGCTGTGCTTGAGGCCAATTGTCAAGTGGCTTCTGTTTCTTCTTCTACAGGCCATGGGAATTTCCCTTACCTCTGTGGGAACCTGAACGATGTCGTTGTCAGCCCCCTGCTGTACACGTGCTACCAGAATTCCCAGTCCCTCTCTAGGGCATATGAGCAGTTTGGCGCCTCCACCATGCAGCCCATCTCTGAGGAAATGCAGCTCCTGCTGACAGTCTACTACCTCGTCCAGCTGGGTGAGTCCCTCTGCCACCATGAGTGCATGGTGAAGGAGTTTCTTCAGCCTGTAGGACCAGCCAGAGATGAATGGGGGGCTGGGACGAGTTTATAGTCCCAAGGGGAGACAGCATGGGGTCAATGCAGAGGTCACCACAGGGAGGGGTGAAAGAGATTGCAGCTCTCACCTGCTCACCACTCACCTGCTGTTCTATATCCCGCTACTCATGGGGATATAGCAGGAAATAGTGACATTCCCCTCAAGGAGAGTTGAATGGAAAGCAGGCAGGGTGTGTCTGATGGGGTTGATTTAGGGTAATCAAGAAAGGTCCCTATGAGTAGAGACCTGGACTGTGAGAAGGAGCAGCCTTGTGAAGCTCTGAGGAGGGAGGACAGGTGAGGGCTGTGGGGATGGGAAGGAACATGGAGTGTCCTTGGTGGAGGTGGCAGTTGAACTGCAGCAGGGAGGGGAAAGGGTGTGAGTGAGCTATAAGGCTATAGACCATAGCAGGACTCAGGCTGCCATCCAGAGTGGATTGTGTTTTGGTCACATAGAGAAGTTACTGGTCATGTTTTTAGGTGGGAATGGGTATGATCTGATTCTCAGTTTAGGAAGACCAATGCCATTACGGTTGGATGGTGCAGGGCAGGACTGAAAGCAGGGCTATTGCTGTCATCTCAGTGAAATTTGCTGTGGCTTTGGTCATTTGGCGTGTCAAGGTGCAGGGCAAGTTCTGAAGGTCAGGGTGTCAAGTCCACTAGAGAGAGGTGAGGGAAGATGGAGCAGCAGGAAAGTGGTGGGAAGAAGCAAGAGTTCTGTCCTGAAACCATGATGTTTGTGATGTCCACAGGCAGCCTGTGTCATTTGGAAGGACAGGTCTGAAGCCCTAGCAGAGGCTGGGACTATGTTATAAATCTAGAAAATGTGAGCTTGGAGGAGATCTACAGGAAAGTTGTGAGAGCAGCTGAGATGCCCTGGGACTGTCACTGGTAGAGAAAGAGGAGTCAAGGTTTGAGCCCTGGGTCACCCTAATGTCCAGAGGTCCAGCTGATAAGACCCAGGTGAGGCAGGAAGGAAGGGTAAGGGCAAGGACATAGGTCACACACCATCACGTGTCTCTCATGACCCATGTGGATCCATCAGCAAGCACAGTCTTGTCCCCTTCCCCATCACCACCCAGCCCAGGGCACCTCTGTTGCCTCCTGCTTGCCACACTGGTGACAGCTGTGGATCAATTGACAGCATCTCTTTCTTCTTCAGAGTCCTCCAGTGATTCCATCATAGACTCAATCTACACCTGCTCCCAGGCCTGTGTGGCTGCCTGCCTCCCGCACCCATGTGTCAGTCTGGCTGGCCTAGCCCGCTGCTCTTTGAGCAGTCTTGGTTTCACCCTGCATCACAGCCTTGCTGCTTCTTCCCTGGGAAATGCTTTTGTCTAGGCCATGTGTGTGCCTTGCTCCCCCATGTCCTCTGAGTTTTGGTTCACATGCCCCCTCTCAGAGAGGCCTTGTCATTGTATCTAGGACAAGACCTACCCAAAGGCCCAGTGGCTCTCTGTCCTGTTCCCTTCGTCTCTTTGTCTGTAGAGCAGTGCTGCTTCCAGGAGTGTACTGTGGGATGATTGACTCACTTGAGCATCTGACCCCAGTTAGAGTATGTACTCCATGTAACCAGGAGTTACTCATCTCACTTGCTTCCATGTGCCCATAGTGTCTGCTGTGTCAGGCTGGCACTCCCCAAGTGTGTGTTGACAGAATGGATAAAGGTTGATACAGAAGCCAACGAAACAAAGCATTTCAAGGATGGGGCCGATCACCTGTCAGTGTGGCTGGAATGAAGTGGAGGGATACTGGTGACTGACTATAGGGTTGGCACATGGAAGGACTGGCCACCTTGAGGGCGGATACATGAGAAGGATGGGGACAAAAGCCATACTGGAGAGTTTTAGAGAGAACAGAGGTGAGGAAACAAGTATGGGGGGTGTGACAAACTCTCTTAAGAAGCTTTGCTGGGTGGTGGAGTTCTAGAAAGAGATGTGGGCTCAGGGAAAGGTTTTAAAGATGAGAGATATGACAGCTAACCTAATCCTATTCTAATTTGATTACCTAATTCAAGTAGCTAATTCTAATCAAACTTACTTAATAAAAATGAAGATAATAAAATTGTCACAACTGAGTGGGTGGCACAAAGTACATTTTATAGATCAGGAAACTGTACAATAACGTCACTAAGGTCACACAGCTAGTGCTGGGAGAGCTGGGTGGGAAGTGGCCTTCTACATTGAAAGCTAGTGTTCTGTCCTCCACTCCGCAAACACAAGAGTAGGACATAATAACTCAAAGATTTATAAAAGAAAACACTCATAGGAAATAAATGTAGTCACCAGAGATGCAAATGAGCAATCAAACAAGTAATAGTCTTTCAGTCTAAACCAAATGATGGTACCCAGTAGTGTGGAGGGCACAGAAAAACCTGCACTGTGCTGTCACACTCCAGAGCGCTGTGGTCAGGTGACACACAGGGCCTTCACAAGCAAGCTGATGAGTGGTGAGACAGTGGCTCTTTGTAAACCACCTCGAAGAATGCAGGCAAAGGAAGTAATGTTCTGTACGTAGAGATGTGTGCTTCAGAAGTCCTTGTAAAGGAATTTTTGGAAGAAATATGAGGATGCAGAATACAGACGATGCTTAGGTAATGGTGGTGCCTCTGTACAGTGGGACGTGTCTCTTTGTTAGGGTGATGAGATGTGCTGGCTTCATGTCCTAGATTCTGCAGCTGTTGGTCACTACTTCACGTAGGTAATTTAGGTTGTGTTACTCTAAATTAGCTTGCATACATGTTCCCAGATGCCCACAGCTTTGGTGTCAAGCCACCCATGTACTGTGCCAGTCAGGTGCTGATGCCTTTCTGTGGCCTTGTGTTGCAGCGGCAGACCAGGTGCCACTGATGGAGGACCTGGAGCAGATCTTCCTGCGCTCCTGGCGTGAGTCGCACTTGACTGAGATTCGGCAGTACCAGCAGGTGCCACTGCAGCCCTACCCACCGGCACCCAATGCCGTGGCACCTGTGACCTCGGCACAGCTGCCCTGGCTGGCCGGCCTGGCTGCCAGTTCCTGCAATGACAGTGTGCATGTCATCGAGTGTACCTACTCCCTGGCCGAAGGTCTCTCCGAGATGTTCCGGCTGCTTATTGAGGGCAAGCTCTCCAAGACCAACTATGTGGTCATCATCTGTGCCTGTCGGAACACTGCCATCGACTCCTGCATCGCTGTCACCGGGTGAGTCATGATGTCACTGGTGGCTGTGGCGTCACTGATGAGCCCAGATCACCTTTCAGCTAGTGGCAAACCAGGCTGGTGATTTCCCTGGCTCTTGTCTCTGTGGTTCTTCCCCTTTTGCCTTGGTGGCCTCATGTTTGCAGGAGGGTTTGCACCTGCAGTTTGTGCTTGGTGCTGGCTTCAGAAGGCAGCCTTGGTGCCCCTGCTGGGCTTAGTTACGATCTCAGTCCTGCTATCCATGGCCAGGTTAGCAGCTTCCGATTCTTCCCTAGAGAGACTGGGCCCAACATACCATTCACACCAAGACTCTGGCCCTCAGTTTATTTGGGATCAAATGGAGTTAACAAGCAATGCCTGATTGTGTTGTGTGGGTTAATGAGTCAACTTGCTGATTAGGCACAAAACCACTCACGGAACCCCTTACGTTCAGCCACCGTTCAAATGGCCGGGCTCAGGAAGCCTGAGAGTGAACACTGGGGCTGGGAGGCACATACCAAGCACACAGGCTTTTTGGACTGTTTCAGTGTTCATAGGTGTTGTATATTTTGAACTTGAAGTTTTTGTATCACTTTTTATTTACCTAAAGTCATGTTCTCTGTGAATTCTTTGCCTGGATTTTAACAGCACATTCAGTAGTAAACCCACAGTCTCTGCAGTGTGTCTGGCACTGTGGTCTTGTGTCACCTTGCAACAGGCTTGCAAGACTGACACTGCTGTCACGTTGGGCAGAGGAGGACAGAGCTCTGCAGGTTTAGGTAACTCCAGTTACCCAGATAGTAAGGGAGGGAGATGGTCAGATGAGAGGATTTTCTGTAAGTAATCTTGGCCTTTTTAGGCTCTTGTATCATCCCAGCTGTTAAGCTGGGGTAGAATGATGTACGAAGTTGATTCATTAGCAAACAGGAACAGCTGCTCTTTGGCAGGCATGGCGTTGGGTTTGGGGGCGGGTAGAGAGAGCAAGGCATGGAATCTGTCTTCAGAGAGCTCGTGTTGATTCTGAACGGTGAGCCTAGGGGCAGCTGCTCTTCGTTTTCCAGGAAAATACCAAGCCCGGATCCTCTCCGAGAGCCTCCTCAGCCCCACGGAGTACCAGCGGGAAGTTCATTACGAGCTGGTTACAGGCCAAGTGGACTCCCTGGGGTCCTTTTTCAGCACCTTCTGTCCAGGTAGGTTTGTGCAAGACAGGCAAATCCATGCATTGAAAAGGCAGAAATAAATGCAGAGCAGGCACCAGAGCTGTGCCTGCCCCCCATTCTGTGCACTGGTGTTTACCTCTTGCCCGTCACCATAGTTCTGGTTGGCTGCCTCTTTCTGATTTAGCTGTAGAGTTCTCCAGGGTGGGGGGGTGGAGCTGGGAGGGTTGGGCTTCTAGCCTTGGTGCCTTTCCCTCTCAACCTCTGTGGCCAGTGCCCCACTGGATTGCCCAAGGCCTCTGCTTGGAGTGTCTTGCTCAGTGCTACCGGTCCCTGTCCCACTAGTTTCACTCCTCACCCCTCAGGACTCATCTCAGGTCCTCCTAGAAAGCTTTGGTGACCCTTTTCTGGAACAGACTTGGAACCCTTCCTCTCTGTTCTTTGTTACCTCCCTCTTGGGAGGGAGTTGTGGTGTGACTCACCTTGTGCGTCCGTCTGCACCCTTGCTGGGCTGTAGACTTTTTGACAAGGTGGTCATGTCCCCCTCCAGTCACCTGGCGTTTCAGGAATAGTGCCAGGTACGCAACAGCTGGACTAGAGATGTTTGCTGAATTTCACTGAGTTAGAAACTTGTTTGTTTGCTCTATTTTGGGCAGAAGGTGACATTGACATTTTGCTGGACAAATTTCATCAAGAAAATAAAGGCCATATTTCTTCCTCTCTCACTGCTTCCTCTGTCACTAAAGCAGCAACCCTGGACATCAGTGGAGCACCTGTGTGCACAAGTGAGTGAGAAGGAGGGGAAAAGGTGTGCAGAGTGAGGGACAGAGGGAGCAGGTGAGCCCAGGTGCACACAGGAGCTCTGAAACTGAAGCTCTGACCCATTTGAACAATGGGGTCGCACTGGTCCAGAAGCCAAAGCAATGTCAGAGGTATTTCTAGGAGACACGGCATCGCCTTAGCATAAAGTAGAGCTAAAACCTGATCTTAGTTTGGTCTTAAAGATAAGGATCTCTTTAAGAAAATGTGGTATCTATACACAATGGAATTTTATGCAGCCATGAAAAAGAACGAAATGTTATCATTCGCTGGTAAATGGATGGAATTGGAGAACATCGTTCTGAGTGAGGTTAGCCTGGCCCAAAAGACCAAAAATCATATGTTCTCTCTTATATGTGGGCATTAGGTCAAGGGCAAACACAACAAGAGGATTGGACTTTGAGCACATGATAAAAGCCAGAGCACACAAGGGAGGGTAAGACACCTAAAAAATTAGCTAGCATTTGTTGCCCTTAACGCAGAGAAACTAAAGCAGATACCTTAAAGCAACTGAGGCCAATAGGAAAAGGGGACCAGGAACTAGAGAAAAGGTCAGATCAAAAAGAATTAACCTAGAAGGTAACACCCACACACAGGAAATCAATGCGAGTCAACTCCCTGTATAGCTATCCTTATCTCAACCAGCAAAAACCCTTGTTCCTTCCTATTATTGCTTATACTCTCTCTTCAACAAAATTAGAAATAAGGGCAAAATAGTTTCTGCCGGGTATTGAGGGAATGGGGGGGGGAGAGGGAGGGAGTAGAGTGGGTGGTAAGGGAGGGGGTGGGGGCAGGGGGGAGAAATGAACCAAGCCTTGTATGCACATATGAATAATAAAACAATAAAAAATCTGAAAAAAAAGATAAAGATCTCATTTCATCCTGCTGCATCCAGCTGTGCACTCTCTCTGTTAGTACGTTTCATTGCGCTGATTCCCTACCTATTGATGCACTGTTGGAATTTTTTATTCATGTGAAGTTCTGAGGGACTGCTATAGGTCCTTCTCTCCCAGAAAACTTGCAACCCTCTAAGTCCTGTGTCAGTGTCATCTCCCCTGGCCTTGTCCCCTCCAGGCAGAATAGGGCACAGCTTCCTCTTTTCTAAGTGTTTGGTTCATACTTTTACTAGTAAATGAAGAAGACATGTTAAAGGCGACCCGTCCCTTCATCACTTTGTGCTTAGGTTGGCCTCTCCCCTGGAATAGGGCTCATTCATTTGTTCCCTAGTTGGGGGCCTGGGCGCTAGTGCTCTCATCTCACCGGCTGCAGGTTACCATCTGGAGCCACGTGGTGCTCGGCCCTTCCAGCTGGCAGTGGCGCAGAAGCTCCTTTCTCATGTGTGCTCAATTGCGGATTCTAGCACACAAAATCTAGATCTGGGATCTTTCGAGAAGGTGGACTTTCTAATTTGCATTCCACCCTCAGAAGTGACCTACCAGCAGACGGTGCTGCATGTCTGGCATTCAGGTGAGGGCCTGCTGGGGAAAAGTCATCAGGCCTGTGCAGAGAAGCTTTGACCCTACATTCACATCCACAGAATGAGTGTTAGCACCATTCTATGGTATAGAGTAGGTAGAGCAAGTATTATTGTCCCCATTGTTTAGATCATGAAACTGATACTCAGAGACTTGCCCAAGATTTTAGCATCCCTCATGTAAAGGCAGAACTAAGGTTTGAACTTTTGCTGTGTCCTTCATGGTTCAATGACCTATGTGCTGATAGCTGGCTACCACTTTGTATTTTCCATGTCCTTTCAAGGATTTTTTATTTAGATGTGAGATGCACAGACAGCAATACCTCAACTCAGAGGAGTCACTCTTAAGTGTCATAACGTAGGGCCCTGTGGCTTCAGACTGAGGTGATTTTGCTGGGGATGGGGGTGGTGGGGCTCTCCTTTCTCTTGAGTCTTACCCTGCTTGGGAGAAACTGCCTTATAAAGCTGCTTTGCTGGTTCCCCCCAGCTGGGCCACTGTGCACACAGCCAGGCCTCTGCCCACACAGCTGGGCCTCTGCCCAGCTCCTGTGCAGAGCAGTGGAGAGACAGTTTTCTGTGTTGGAATCTCTTGCCCACGTGTCCCTGCTTTACACATCCCTGCAACTCAGGGACCAGCTCAGTGTGTCTGGGTGGGAGACAGTCCTCAGCTGTCCAGAGTGGATGAACCCAAGTGTAATTTTAGAGCTACTGATATGTTCTTCTGCATTGCAGGGGTCTTGCTGGAGCTCGGCCTGGAAAAAGAGCCCATGACCAAGCAGAGGGTGGAGCAGTATATTCTGAAGCTGGATGCAGAGGCCCAGACAAAATTTAAGGCCTTTCTGCAAAACTCCTTCCAGAACCCACATACACTCTTTATTCTGATCCATGACCACGCCCACTGGGATCTTGTGAGGTTAGACTGACTGGTCTGATGGATATGGCCTTAAAATATGGATGCTACTTGGGGCTGAGGGCAGATTGTTGGGGCTGGGGCTTAGTGTTTGTAAGCAAGGGCTGTGGACATTTTCCAGCATTTTAGAGCATGCACTATCTCAGGGATCACTGAGTGCAACCTCAGAAATTTCCCAGTGCGGGGACAGGGCTGGAGAAGGGAGCACTGGGTGTTAGTGGCAGAGCCCAGCCTAGAGCCAAAGCCTCAGAATAGAAGCTTGAGGCCTTCTCGGCCTTAGGTTGTACAGTTAGAGACGGGAAGGAAGGGGTACCAGGACCAGGTCCCAGAGCAAGGTCACAGATTTGTGATGCTTGGAGCTGGTCAGGGCCTGAAGGATCACATAGAGTTTATAATCCAGGATTTGGAGGGAATTTGAACATTATGAAATTATAGAAAAAAGCTGTCTTGTGAATATTTATTTAGGGTAGGTTTTTTTTGTTTGTTTTTTTTTGAGTAGCTTCTTGCCACCTGGAAGATAAAGCACTGATTTTTTTCTCCCTATCTCCTCAATTTACAGAGAGTGCTAGGGCCACTGTCTCACCAAGAACGGCTAAGCTAGGCTTGTCTTCTAGACCCCTGGTCCAAAGTGCTTCCATTCCCTCAGTGCTGCCTTCTAAATTTGGTATCAAGTGTGTCCTTTTATGTCCTCTCTGGATAATTTCAGGTCAGTAGGACTCTAGGAGGCTCATCTGGCCTGTCAGCTTCCTTCTTTCCTCTTTAAAGAGATGTGCACACATTCAAATTGGGCCAAAAGCAATTCATGAGCACTCCTGGAGGAGCAGATGGCTTGTGTATCTTGCAGGAAATTCTAATCAAATTTTCATAAGTAGTGAGTATGAAGGGAGTCCCTGACAGGTACCTGAACTCCAATCATTTCATGTTTCTTTCCCTGGTCATGGACAGAGCCACTGCCTTCAATTGTAGGTAAAGTTGGGGGCTACTTATAAACTTATTCTACTGCTTTATCCTTATAAAATGCTAAAACAGTATTACTAATTCTACTTACTTGTTTCTTCTCCTTCTCCGCCCCCCAGTAGTGCTGTTCATAACCTCTATACTCAAAGTGACCCAACCGTGGGATTGGTGGACAGATTGCTCAACTGCAGGGAGGTGAAGGAGGCCCCCAACATCGTGACCCTTCACGTGACTTCCTTCCCATATGCCCTCCAGACACAGCACACCCTCATAAGCCCCTACAACGAAATCCACTGGCCAGTCTCCTACAGTAATGTGAGTGCTGCCAGGTCTGGTGTCACCCGGATGATTAAGTCAGAGATGACCAGTGTAGTTGGGGATGAGTGGGTTCCAGCTTTTTGGGTCTTTGATTGGATTTAGGGTTAAATTTAAGCCCTTCTTGTACTTTAAAAAAACCTTCATGAAATCTATCTGCTGCCTTCCCCATCTTAGAACGTGTGACACGGTGCAGTTGGTCTGATATCTCCAGTGACTGAAGTCCTAATCAGTATTTTCAACATTTGTCCTCATGGCCTTGGTTAAAGATATTGAAGCCCTTGTGGTCTTGGGAATTTGGTTTCCTTATAGAATGACTCTACATGTAGCTGGCAGCCTTAGATCTATTCCTGTGCTTTGTATTCCTTCATCTGTGCACAGCCAGCTTGAAAGCCGCCTCCTTCAGACCGAACACAAGCCCTCAAACCTAGAGGGTTTGTTTTAGTTTCTCACCTGCCATTTTTCTTGTCAAAATAAAAGACCAAAATAACTCTGGGTGGTTGGATTCTAGTGGATTACACGAGGAATCAATAACCTAGAGTTCTTCAGAGTGCCTTGGTCACCTAAGGGACTTCTGTGAATATAAATGTTGGGCTTTAGTCTCATGAATTCAGAATCAGTGATGACAGCCAGTGTTTATGGGACACTTCCCAGGGGCCCCATGCTGTGTTTATGTTCTATGAAGTCATGCAAGAGGCAAGTACAAGGAAGATTTTTATTACAAATAGGGAGCAAGAGAGGGGAGGGGCTGGGCTAGTTTTCTAAGACCGTGATGGAGCCAGGATGGGACCCAAGTGTTGGCTCCTTGGCCCTGGTGCTTAACCACTCTGCTATTTGAGAGTAGTTTATGCTTTTGTATTTTAAACAACATCCCCTAACTTTGCTATGCTTTGAAGTTTAAGAAGCTCCAATACTAGTTTAGAAGGAATTTTATGTAAGATTGGTTAGATGTATGTGTTTTTTTCTATTGATTTTAGTAGCAACTGAATGCATGGCAGTTGATATGCCTATGCCTTAAACCGGCTTAAAATTGTGGAAAGCATTTTTTAACAAAGAAAGATAAGAGAAAAGATATGGCTGATGTTTTCCCTTGTGAAGACACTGGGGCCAAATGAATGGGAAATTTGGTTGGTGAGGTGTGCCATCCTTAGAGTTCGGGTACTCTTTGCTCTGGGGCTGCAAAATGAAGTTTATACAATGCCAACCAAGGGACTGCAGGGCCAGCAGAGTTTAGATCAAGGTGCCAGTCCAGGTTGTCTGTGAGCCCTAGACCTTCCCCGTGAATGCAACGTCTGAGTGACTGACACTTTTCTCTGTTTCAGGGAGTGGACTTGTGTCATGAAAATAAGAAGTACTTTGGGCTGTCTGATTTTATTGAATCCACACTTTCAGGACACAGTCTCCCCTTGCTCAGATATGATAGCTCCTTTGAGGCCATGGTCACTGCACTAGGAAAAAGGTACAAGTCTCTCTTTAAACTTACTAGAGGTGAAGTATGAGTGGAAGTGTGTGCTGTCAGCCGGGGAATTCCAGGAGGGGAGTTCACCTCCCTCCCTCCCAGGATGACTCAGTACCCCTAATAAAGGGACCCTGTTTATTTCTTCTATGCTTGTATCACATTGGGTCACGGGTGTTTTTGCCATGCTATCATTCCATGACGTTTTAGAGATGAGATTGGGCAGAAGCATGATAGAATATCGTGGAACTGTGTGTTTGTGAATCAGTAGAGGGTAGGGAAGGGGAAAGTGAGCTGCTGATAATCGCAGTGGGCTGGACTTGAGTTTCCAGTACATGTTGTCTATGGATTGATTATTCTGTCCTGTTCGTCCTACTTCTTCTTTGAGTCATTGTTTCTCATTTTGAAAAATGAAGAAACAGAGGTTCAGAGAGGCTCCTTAACTTTCTCAGGCCAGAGGTCTAGCAAGTGACAGCAGAGTGAGAAACCAAACTCAGTGAAACTCCACAGCCAGTCCTTTTAACTCCATCACAATAGCCCTCATTTTACAGATGAGGAAGCTGAGGTTCAGAGAGACTATGTGACTGCCAACACCCATACTCTATCTCTGGTAAGCAGGTCATGGGCTATAGATGACCAATGTTGAACAGAATGAGTGACTTTGAGACATCAGCCTGCTTCTCACTCACACAGGGATTGAATTGGACATGTGTTCCTCCAGCTGTGTTCCAAAGAATACCTCTTTGGCTGAGTACTAATAGTTGTGAAGCCAAAAAGGGTTCTGTGACTAAATGCATTTGAGAACATTATAGTTAACTAGAGGATATCTTCATGAGTGTCCTGAGTTTCAGCATACTCCTGTTTGTTCTCAGTCTCCAGAAGGCCAAAGATGCCCATTGTCTTTTGGATTAGTATTGCTCAGAATGCCCTTTAAGAAATGAAGTCTCTTTTTTTTTTTCTTTTATTATTCATATGTGCATACAAAGCTTGGTTCATTTCTCCCCCCTGCCCCCACCCCCTCCCTTACCACCCACTCCACCCCCTCCCACTCCCCCCCCCTCAATACCCAGCAGAAACTATTTTGCCCTTATCTCTAATTTTGTTGAAGAGAGAGTATAAGCAATAATAGGAAGGAACAAGGGGTTTTGCTGGTTGAGATAAGGATAGCTATACAGGGCATTGACTCACATTGATTTCCTGTGCGTGGGTGTTACCTTCTAGGTTAATTCTTTTTGATCTAACCTTTTCTCTAGTTCCTGGTCCCCTTTTCCTATTGGCCTCAGTTGCTTTAAGGTATCTGCTTTAGTTTCTCTGCATTAAGGGCAACAAATGCTAGCTAGTTTTTTAGGTGTCTTACCTATCCTCACCCCTCCCTTGTGTGCTCTCGCTTTTATCATGTGCTCAAAGTCCAATCCTCTTGTTGTGTTTGCCCTTGATCTAATGTCCACATATGAGGGAGAACATACGATTTTTGGTTTTTTGGGCCAGGCTAACCTCACTCAGAATGATGTTCTCCAATTCCATCCATTTATCAGCAAATGATAACATTTCGTTCTTCTTCATGGCTGCATAAAATTCCATTGTGTATAGATACCACATTGAGAAATGAAGTCTCATTGATACCTTCTGGTTCTATCATGCTGAGAGATTAACCAGGCCCATCCTCCAGTTCGTGGTCAGCAGCTGAGCTCTTATAAACTCATTGGACAAAGAAATCCTTAGAGATTTTATGTGGCATCTACGAGAGCTGCCTTTTGCCCCCCCCTGTGCTTCTCTGCCCACCCCCCAGCCGCTCTTGAAGCAAGCACGTGTTGAGGCTCAGTGTGTTGTGGACGTGGGCTTTAGTATTCCACGTTCATTGCCTAAAACAACCCTCATGAGCACAGGCACTTATCTGAGAATTAGGCAGGTTAGGCCCAGGGTCACACAAGGGGGTGGTAGTGAAACCGGATCCAGACCTTGCTCACTTGGCTCCAAAACTACCCAACTGCTAAGCCATACTGACCAAGATCACATAGCTAGCTAAAGGCCAGGCTCTGACCACTATACTAAAATATCTGGGTTCTACCCTGTACTAGTTTTAGCCTAAGCAAATTATTTAACCTGGCTAAGCCTCTGTTCCCTGACCTGTAGAACAAATCCACTTCCCAAATGGATTCTTAGGAGAGTCGCGTGAGCTGATATGTATGCTTAGTTAACAGGTTCGTGCTGAGAACTCAGGTTACCGTATCATACCTCCCAGGTTCAAGTCCTGTGTCTGCTCCTAACCAGCCGAGAGACTTTCGGGAAATTTCTCAATTCTGTGTAGGCATAATACCTACCTCAGGGGATGTTGTGAGAGTTCAGTGTGTTTATTTGTAATGCATTAGGAGCAGTGCTTATCAGTGTTGTCCGTGTAGTTCTCTCTCCTTTGGTGCTTTGCCCTGTGATCACCATCTGCCTTGGTGTCCTTGGACTCTAATTTTCTCCCCCACTTGGAGAGACCACGGAACTTTGCCTGGACTCCTCCTTCCTGAGTGTATCCCAGAACTCTTTTCAGCCAGAAGCTGGGGCTCCCCTCATTTGTACGACATGGCTGAGGATCATCGCTTCTCACTGCCCAGTGCCCTGTGTCTTGAAACACTGTAGCTTCATACATTTGCTTCAGGTGGGAGGAGAAATCTGACTCCTATTGCTCTGTCTTGGCCAGAATCAAAAATCTCTGCTTGTTCTTTTTTTTCAATTCTATTTTTGAATTAGCATACATCATTAATAATACAAGGGGATCTCACTGAGATAATTTCATATATGTGAAGAGTGTGCTTTGAACAAGTTCACCCCCTTTATTATCTTTCTATTCCTCCCTCTTTCCTCCCCCATTTTTTAAACAGTCTTTGGTGGGTTTAATTATGCTGTCTTCACACACACGCGCAGTGTACTTTAACCCTCTTCAGCTCCCAGGGTCCTTTCCCACTGATCCCCCACCCCAGAGAGTCTCCCTTTCCCCTCCCCCCCTTTCTTCTTGGGCATTATTTGGCCAGTGCGCCTCTTGAGACAGCACTAGTGGCAAGTTTGTCAGGCAAGCCCTACAGTTTTTATGATCCCCTCTGAAGTGACTGAGGAGCTAAGGTTTTGTACCTCTTCTTCGTGACGAGGAGGCTTGGCGGTAACAAGGAGCAGGTGATGTCATCAGGGTGTCAGAGGTGCTGTCCAAGGTGTTAGGAAGGCAGGCTGCCTGGCCCAATGAACTGCACAGGGTGACACTGTCATGGCTTGATTTCAGGAGCTCTTTCCAACTAGAAGAACTCACTAAAGCATCATGTAGGAACTGACATCAATTTGTTTATTTCTATGGGAAACATAGTGATCTATAGTGACCTGGGGTTTCCTGAAAGTGCCTGGGGCTGTTTTTTGACACATGGGTCAGAGCTGCTAAAGCAGTTCACATGGTCTTGGGAGCAGCCACCGCCTTTGTGTGGAGACACAGATGGCAACCACATGTTTGTGAAGTAAAAGAGATTCTTGGTTTGACTGCCTGCATCCTGGTGTGTAATGTCTGTTAAGTCACCTTTAGTTATCTTTCTAAGAACTCACTGCAATTGAAAGGAACACTGCAGTGCTATTAGGACTGTCCCCACATCTGGGGGCATGCTAGCTGCATTTACATATAATTGCTGGCAGTTCTGTTTCTGGTAGGAATATAGGACAAATTGCCTTAAACCTATGATAGACTACATAGGCACGTGTTTCATGCATTCACTGGAAATATTTTTTGAGCAACTACAAAGTGGCAAGTACTGGAAAACAGGAAAAACAGCAACAATGACACACCTATGCTTTTGTATCCTAGCTGGGAGAAACAAAGGAGTTTGTACTTTGGTTTTAAAGAGTTCTATCTCAGGGTCCCAACAGCCAGCTTCCACAGGCAACGCATCTTGTCTGTAATTCGGGAGTTGCCTGTGTCTTGGGTGGCTGCCGCAGCACCCTGGCCAATGTCTCCTGGAGGACCCTGCGGTCCTGGGCTGGCTGGCTTGGCCATCCCAGGGTCATGGTCATGGTCTCTTTGTGTTCGTTGCAGGTTCCCCCGCCTGCACAGTGCGGTGATCAGGACCTTTGTTCTTGTGCAGCACTACGCAGCTGCCATGATGGCTGTGAGCGGCCTCCCGCAGATGAAGAACCACACATCAGTGGAGACACTGGAGATCACGCAGAACCTCCTAAACTCCCCGAAGCAGTGTCCCTGTGGCCATGGGCTCATGGTCCTGCTGCGGGTGCCCTGCTCACCCCTGGCAGCTGTGGCCTATGAGCGACTGGCCCATGTGCGGGCTCGGTTGGCCCTGGAAGAGCACTTTGAGATCATCCTGGGTAACCCCAGCTCAGGCATCACTGTGGGGAAGCACTTCGTGAAGCAGCTCAAGGTAAGCGCTGTGCTCAGGAGCAGTAGGTTCTGTGTTCAGGGGTGCAAGGTGCGAAGGATGCCCAGGAGCTTCCAATGGGGCACCCTGGAGGGGTGGCAGCAGGCCCTTGAAGGTGGCCAATGTGACATCTCAATATGTAGCCACCTCTCCCCCTCCTCTGCTGTTTCTCTACCTTTCACTTCCCTCCCCACCCCCTTGGAATCCCCTGTGTTCCCCTAACACACTGCCTGAGGTTTCAGCACTCTGGGTTGCAGTAGTTTTTCTCCCTTTGTGGGGATGCATTTCACCTTTGTTTAGTTGATGCTTATCACTGGCAGAGTTCAGCTCAAAAAGCCACCATCCCCCACATCTGGGTGGGTCCTGATCCTGCCCATCATCCAGCTCCTCCTCTAGGTGATGGGGGGGAAGGAATAGCACCCACCCCACAGATCTCAGTCCCCCAAAGTCTAGCAGTATCCTATAATAATAGAGTCTTACTAAGCCTACAGGTGATAGAAAATGCAAAAGGGTCAGGGGAAACAATGGAAAAATCAAATGAGTAGAAAACATGAACGAAAGGCAGGACACCACAAGAAAATGTAGTAAGAGGTGCCAGGAACAAGTGAGAATGTGCACATTCTCCTGAAGGATCACCTGTCAGCAGACGCCTCTTGCACACCCAGCTTACGCTGTATGAGGAGTGCAGAAATAGGACACACACCTAAGTAAAAATGCAGTGTTTATCTGCAGTATAAAGCGCTTCCTTCTTACCAAGGACTATTTCTAGGGCCCTATATCAGTGGGAGGACATCAGAGTGCCCAGGAGCTGGGCCACTTAGTTAGAGGCTTATGGTTTTCTTTCTGTTTCATATCTGTAGATGTGGCAGAAAATCGAGGATGCAGAGTGGAGGCCTCAGACTTACCTGGAGTTGGAGGGCCTGCCATGCATACTGATCTTCAGTGGGATGGACCCACATGGGGAATCCTTGCCACGGTGGGTGCAGGGGCTCAGGTCCTGGGAGGAGGCAAGGCCAGGCAACCTCTACAGGTGGCACTGTTTGTGCTCTTAGTCACCCCAAATGGTGCATTTATGACCGTGTTCTAGCAGATGGCAGGGTGATGTGCTTGAGATGTGGGTTGCTTTTTCTAGTTTTCAGTGGGGCACCACTAGGCCTGTGTGTGTGTGTTGGGGGGGGCATGTTTTCATTCCAGCTCCTCAGCTGACGGCCCTGCAGCTGGAGTTAGGGTTTAAGGCCCGTGTGCTCAATTGGGGGTCCCTGTGTGTTAGGAGGGCAGGTCCTTGCATCATAGAGTCAATTATTTCTAGGGCCAGGGCTACAGTTTCATAGGTACCTACATTGCACCATGGCTCATCCTTCCTGGCATAGAGCATATTCTGCTGCTTGGGAACAACAGGTGGTTCAGCACAAAAACTGGATGTCTCAATAGCTGTGTCTCTCAGTTGTCATCATAGCCACACTGCTGCTCAGCAACTCCCAGGGGTCTCTAGGCTGCCACACAGGCAGACATTCAGGACAGCAGGCCACTAGGCCTTCAAAAGGCATGGCAATGACTGGGTCTGACTCCATTGCTATTATATCCATGCACCCAGCATAGACCCTGGCACACGATCAGTGTGGACTGAATGCTATGATGTCCATGTAGTACATTTACTCCTCCTCAGGTGGTTATTGATATTCATTCCCATCTTTCAGATGAAAAAATCGGAACCTCAGAAGTTGCACAGCTTGTCAAAGCTTCCATCTCTGGGAAGTGATAGAGTGAGGTTCAGGCCTCAGTTTTGTCTGATCTGAAAGCCAGTGCTCTTTTGGTTGTAAGCAATAGGGCCCCACAAGTCACAGTATATAGCAGGTGCCCCATGTGAAGCTGGCCTGTTGTAAGAGCTCACCGGATGCTTTCTCATGTGTGTGAGTTCTGTGGTCTAATGAGCAAGGCAGGTGTGGTCCCCATCATGCAGTCTTAGCCCCAGGAGCAGCACCCATGGTAGAAGGCACATGGTAAGCACCATCTGCATCCTCCCAGGTCTCTGAGGTACTGTGACCTGCGTCTGATAAACTCTTCCTGCCTGGTGAGAACAGCCTTGGAGCAGGAGCTGGGTCTGGCCGCTTACTTTGTAAGCAACGAGATTCCCTTGGAGAAAGGGGCCAAGAACGAGGCGTTGGAGAGTGACGGGGAGAAGTTGAGTAGCACAGACAACGAGGATGAGGAGCCAGGGACAGAAGGTGAGGATGGCCTGGCAGCACCCAGGTGCTTCTGCCACACTTCCTCCTGGACTTCAGATCTTGGAGACCACCTGCACCTATGCAGACAGCCATCTATACATACAGCCATGTCCAAGGTGGTAGAGCCCTTGGGGGAGTCAAATTTTGCTCAATTTTACTCCCCATTCCCCTTTTTGGTGGTGTTGGAAGGTGGAAATCCCTGAAGGTTCTTCCAAGCTCTAGAATTCTTAAAGAATAGGAAGAAAACTGCAATTTCTTAGGGTTCAAGTTTATGCTTTATTTTAATTGTTAGTGGAATAAGATTGACTTGCTCATTCCCTCCACGTGAATCAACTCAGTAGTGCTAGCCATTACTGAAATGGATGAAAACAGACGTTTCCTTTACAGACTCTTAAAATCTAATGCAATATTTTTTAATATTTATTTTGGCAGTACTGGGATTTGAACTCAGGGCTTTGCACTTCTAGGCAGCTGCTCTACCTCTTGAGCCATGCCCCCAACCCTTTTTGTTTTGAGTAATTTTCAAATAGGCTTGCATGTTCATTCCTGGGCCAGGTTGGAGTGAATCTGTGATCCTCCTATTTATGTTTCCTATGTAGCTGGGATGGCAGGCACGTGCCACCCCCCCCCCCCCCAGCTATTGGTTGAGATGGAGTCTTGCTACCCTTTTTGCCTGGCCTGGCCTGGAACTTCAAGCCTCCTGATCTCAGCCTACCATGTAACTGGGATAACAGATGTGGTACCGTGTTTTTAATTAGACACATCAATGAGAGCAGTGCAAGGCATTTGGCTGTAGTCCAAATGATAAGAAACACTAAACCAATAATATAATAGTGATAGAAAAGCTAAACCAACAATGTAAAAAAAAATACAAGGCATTGTGGAATGTGAAAGAGGGGAAGGAGATGAATATAGAGTCCCTTTCTTCCTCTGCCTGCTGATTCTGTGACATGGGATAAGACTGTAGCCCCTCCTAGCCTCAGATTGTTCTCTGTAGATGAGGATGGCAAGGTCTGCTTGCCTGGCTTCCCTGTGCTCTGTGTTTGAAACACGATCTCAACCCTGGTATTACTAGTGTTCCTTGTTGCCTGTGGTGTGACCACGTTCCCTTGGTGTGACCACGCTCCCTGGCATGTCCTGACCCACTTCATTAGTTCTCTTGTTTGGTCCTCCCAATTCCAGTTCAGTCATGGGGTGCAGAGGGGGTGCCTGAAAATGGCAGGTGGATGCAGGACTGAGTGAAGGAATGGGAGAGAGGTGGGATTGCCCTGTACGAGCTGAGTGTGCTGGGAGAATGTAAGGGACGGGGATTCTGGTGCATTTTTTGGTGTGTTTTTAAGCAGGTTCCACCTCAGAGAAGAGGAGCCCCATGAAGAGGGAACGGTCCTGTTCTCGTGACTCAGCGTCCTCCTCCCTGTCTCCAAAGCATCCGGTCAGTCTTCACATGGGACCCTCAGGTGGCTGGGCTGCTTTTGAGTTCAGAGAATGGGAGGAAACATGTGTAGGCCATTTGCTGATCCTGTGCTTCCAGTCAGAACTGGGAAGTAAAAGAGGCCTTTGAAGAACTGACTCTGTAGAGTAGTGTTGGGTTGGCTTGCGGGGGACTCTGGGACCTTCAGGACTGAGCAGGACTACAGAGTCCAGCTGCTCTTGCTGCCAAGAAAGGGGGTTCTGCCCTGGGCATTGTGTGGGGGGTGCCCTTTGGTCCCCTCTATGTAGTCATTGGCTTGGGGCAGACACAGCTAGGGGAGGATAGGAGCTGAAGCGAGGGATTCTGGCCCAGAGAAGTGAACACAGGAGACTTCACAGGAGAAGTCCTGTGAGGATGAGCTCACAATCCCTGTACCTGAACAGCACAGGGAGGAGGGGCTCTTCACTGAGGGGCCCCTTGGTCTTCCACAGAAGCCATGACCCAGGGACGGGAAACAGTGCTGCCTCTGTCTTCCTACCAAAGGCATTGACCAACCTGGGATATTCAGTATAACCATTTGAATACTGAGCAATAAATTCCATATGGACTCTGTCTTCAAGAAATCCATATTTCCTTATAAAAATCATGTCACAGTCCTTTCTGTACACACAGTCACATACATTTAGTATTATTTTTACACACAAGAGGCAGTGATTTGTTTGGTCTCAGGCAGAGGGCAGATTTAGGGGTGGGGTGTGCTCACCCTCGCTTCCAGACAACAGCTCTCCCCATGGCTGAGCTTCGGAGGAGAAGGTGTTCCCAGTGGAAGTTATGTCTGGGCAGAGCGGCTCAGGGGCGTGGGTGTGTAGGCTGAGGGGCAGGCAGTGGTTCAGCAACAACATCCTGGGCTGGGGGCCTGGCTGTGGTCGGGGTCGGGGGGAGTGCTGAGAGACACCAGTGTGTGGTCTGGGGCAGAGAGAGCTCAGAGCTCAGTGGGAGATCTGGCCCCGCAGTACCTTTGGCTTCCTCTCTTTCTCCCTCACTTCACACACCCCATGCAAACAGTGAGCTGGGTGAGCGGGGGCCCTTCCACAGATGTGTACACTCCTTTCCATTGGCCCGGCACTCTGTGACTGAAGTATGCTCTGACTCACAGGTCAGGGGTCAGCCAGAAAAGCCAAATGCTGCAGCCACAGACACCCTTGTCCCCAGAGTGGTGTAGGATGCCTGGGGCAGAAACAGGAGTGGCACTGGCATATGCTGGGTTTTTCCTAGGTGACACTAACCAGGTTCATCTCTCCCCAGGTTCAGCCCTCTGCAGTGAGTCCCTGGCTCAGCCCCCCGGGCTCCCACAGGGAGAGCAAGCCTGGTCACCTCCACCCTGTGGTCCTGCAGAAGAGGGCAGAATGCCTGGGGAGAAGCAGTATCTCCCAGCCAGTCAGGGACCACCATCAGTCATTAGCAGGCACAGCCCTGGGCTGGTCCCCCCACCTGAGTGTGGTCCCAGGCCTAGCCAGAGAAGCCTACAGGTGTCTGTCACCTCAGCCTCACAGCTGTCCTCCTCAGGCTTATCCTCCCAGTGCACAGTGCCCACTGCCGGCCCACTTGTGCCACAGGCCTCACAGTGCTCCATGACCAAGGCCTGCCGGCAGCCGCCCATCGTCTTCCTGCCCAAACTTGCATATGACGTAGTCATGTGCACTGACAGCAGCGGCCTGCCCAAGGCCGCCTCCCTCCTGCCCTCTCCCTCGGTCATGTGGGCCAGCTCCTTCCGCCCTCTGCTTAGCAAGACCATGACTTCCACGGAGCAGTCCCTTTACTACCGGCAGTGGACAGTGCCCCGGCCCAGCCATATGGACTACGGCAACCGGGCTGAGGGCCGTGCAGACAGCTTCCACCCTCGCAGGCTGCTGCTCAGTGGGCCACCTCAGGTGGGTCTTGCTGCTTGCTGTCCCCAGCACCTTCCCTGACCCTCAGGTTGTACTTGTGTTCACAGCCAGAGGGCAGGCTCACGGCTGCACTATCTGCTCATTTGCTCTTTGGACTCGTCTGTGATGGCCTGGAGTGCGAGGGTAAATGGAGAATGGTACTTTTATGGTACTCCTGGGTAGGATGCTCCATTGCCTGGCTGCAGTTTCCTCCTTTGCCTGATGGGGATGCAAAGGAGACGTCTGTGTGGGAGCTCCTCACACCTTCAGAGTAAGATTCTGCCTTCCTATGTGATTGCAGTCCCTGGTCAACCTCTGTACGCTAACAGTTAGACATGAAACTGCCCAGATTCTGGTGAACATTGATGGAAAGCCAGGGACTTTGTCTTGTGGTTTACCCAGTCCATTTCCCCTGTTAAAATGTCAGGAGGCTCCCTGGGTGCAAGCTTCTCATGCGGTGGGCATGGGAGGAGGACAGCTTGGATTAGGTAGGGGTCTTTGGAACTGAGCAGAAGCTGGCAGGTGACTGAGGCTGTTCAAACATCACCTGACATGAGGGCAAGTTTTAACATCCACTGTGCAGACGTATGAGAATTCAATGAGAGAACAGAAGCTGGGTGCCTAGACTATTGCTTGACTTGGGGACTGCACACAGTCAGTGTTCCCTGCTTGCCATCAGCACATCAATCCTGTCATCATTCAACAAGTGCTGCTTTTGACTCTGCAGATTCATTTGCAGGAACGCATCCCAAGAAATACAGACACACCAAATGTGTGGAAGAATGCTCATTTTAATACCATTGGCAATAATGAAAACCAACCCAGAGACAAAGTCCACTGGCCAAGTCTCAGTTGTGAATAAATTTGCAGATAACAGGAATGTTAAGAGAAATCCCTTGATTTTGCCATTGAAATTTCTCCAAATATCTAAGTTAAAAACAATGTGCAGAATTATACACACACAGACACACACACACACACACACACACACACACACACACGCACACACTCACGCATAGTGGAGTAGCAATTAGGAAAAACCACTAGGTGTGTGAACATACCTAAAAGAGGGGAGTAGGATTTGTAACATCCCACTTTATTATCACTCTGTATTGTTTGACTGTTTAAAAAGAGCATATTTCTTAAAAGGGAGTGTCTATTTTTTCTTTACCTTACACGGTGGATGTTATCAATCTTTAGAATTCTTGCCTATTTAGAAGTTGAGAAGTAGCGTGTCTGAGTGTTATTAGTAAGACTGGACCTGCTGATATATGTTCCTTGGTCACTGGTACTTCTTTCTCAGGGATTTTCTGTTTTTCTTTAGGCAGTTCAATTTTTTTTCATGCTAACTTGTAGGAACTTTTCAGATATAGATTTTTATCCTTTGTCTATTATATATATTGCAAATATTTTCTCTGGTGCTTCCCTCTGGTTTTATGCCATAGTTTTATTTGTAAAGGTAGTTGTTCCCACTTGTCAACATTTGTTATTGATACAAACCAGGAGCTGGCTTCAAGTACTTGGGTGGGGGAAAAACACACCTGTAGAGTAACTGTGTTGTGGGGCAGGAAAGATCCAGGCTAGCCCATGAGTACCTCTTTATTTTATATTTTACTTTTATTTTAATTAATTTTTTGAGACAGAGTTTCACTGTGTAGCGCAGGCTGGCTTTGAACTTGCTGTGTAACCCAGGCTGACCTCAAACTCTTGATCTGCTTGCCTCAACCTCTTGAGTGCTGGTATTACAGATGTGTACCGCCATGCCTGTTTTTTTTTTTTTTTTTTTTTTTTTGACAATACTGGGGATTGGACCCAGGGCCTGGAGTGTGCTAGGCAAGTGCTCTATCACTTGAGCCAAGACCACAAGCAGGGTTTCTTTTGATTAGTTGTAACCAAAATGAACAAGATCAAGCAAATGCACTAGCCTGGTTCTGGGCAAAGAGAGAGGGGACTCTATGATATTAGAAAACTGAGAAAAGTTGTTCTTTCTTTCCCTGGATATAGGAACAGAAAAAGAGATGCTAGCTTTTAATGTCTCATGCAGTGAATTGTGTTATGGACACATTGATGGGGACAAGCAATTTGCATTGTGCAAAACTCTTTTAAGATACTACATTTTATATGGTCAGTTCCATATATGGTGAGTTCCATTTTGTTTTTTAAGCTTCCTTTCACTTCTTGTAAAGTCCTCTTAAAAACAAGGCTGATTACCACCTGAAGACACACCTGTGGTGATTTAAGGCCAGACAGGCTCCTTCTCCTGGAGTCTGTGTGTCTACCTGCCACAATGTTGCAGGCTGTGTTTCCCTCAAATGTGTTTGCATCCACAGGACTCTCGTCTGCATGATGTGACTTTAGTGAGATGGTGGCAGGAGGCAGGCAGGTACTCCAGCCTGTGCCTGCATGGGACAGGCTTCCTGGCTGTGGGCTCTAATTCCAGTGTCTTCACAGATTGGGAAGACAGGTGCCTACCTGCAGTTCCTCAGTATTTTGTCCAGGATGCTCATTCGGCTGACAGAAGTGGATGTTTATGATGAGGAAGAGATCAACATCAGTGAGTTCTCTGCTTTGATGCTTGGGCTTAGAACAGCACTCAGTGCCCTCAATCAGGTTCCCCAGTGATTTGTGTCTTTCAGTTTAGACGGTTCACAATCAGACTCATCTCAAGGTCTTATACGGCCCTTTTTATCTTTCTCTTGTAGTCGTTTTTCTCTAAGAATGGTACCTCAGAGGACTCTGTAGGATGAAGTTGTTAATGCTAAAGGAAATAGTGCTTACTGAGTACCTTCCAACTTTCTAGTGCTTTATGTAAACTTCCACATTTCACCTTCTACCCCTTGAGTCATTCCGCAAGCCCCTTCCTTTTTCCATTTTCAAATCCCACTTTTTAAAATGCTCTGTAGTTTCATATTCTCTTGCAAAATAGGGATAATTCCTGACTTCAGGGTGTTGTGAAGATTAAATACACACACGGAGCACTGAGCACCTTCTAGAATATGCATAAAGCCTTGCAGTCTCTCCACCTTTGGGTCAGTGTACTCTGCCCACGTACACGATGCAGTAGGATATATGTATATGTATTAATATCTCTCTATATTATACATGTGATAGAACACATAATGTCAATAAGTCTGTCACACAATTTGAGTTGGGCCAATTAGACTTTTTTTTACCTTTTAGCCAGCAAACGTTGGTGAGCTGCACAGGCTCTGTCTGTCCTAGTGTAAGATGATGCTGGTGAATGTGGCGTGGGCCATACATGCTGCTGGGATCAGAAGAGGAAAGCAATGGCTGAATACTTTCTAGAGGTGGAGTGGCAGCTGAGCTCTGTTGGCTTGGGAGGTTTAGATGGTAGAGACAAGAAAGCAAGCTTGAAAATTCCCACTGGTGCTGGGAGTCTGTGCGGCACAAGGGGCTGGCAGTGTCAGGGAGAGGCACAGGGCATAGGACTCAGATTGGTTGCATCAGGACAACATGAAGAGCAGAGCAGACCTGGTCCTGTAGGAAATAGAACTCGAGCCCATTCCTCTGCGTGGAGATAGATCTATATGTTAATTCTTGCCTGTTAGAACCATCCTGAAATGAATCTGTGTTAGAAGCCTTTGAAATACAATGGGGCTGCTCAGTAACCTGTAGATTAATGACAGCTCCACTCCAAGCATTATCCTTGTGCACAGTTAAAATAAAGCATTCTCTTCTTCTGTTTTCTCTAATGTCTGTGTTTCTGCCTATGTGTTATAGACCTCCGAGAAGAATCAGATTGGCATTATCTCCAGCTCACTGACCCCTGGCCAGACCTGGAGCTGTTCCAGAAGATGCCTTTTGACTACATCATTCATGACCCAAAGTATGAGGATGCCAGTCTGATTTGTTCACACCATCAGAACATCAAGAGTGAAGGTCAGACTTTGAATCTCTTGCTTCACCTGCTTCCGAAATACGTGGGCATAGCCTCTTATAGATTAATAGAATAAGGCTGGGCTGAGCTGAATCTTGTTAGTGATGAAGTCTGATGGTGGCGAATGACCCCATGCTACCTGACTGAGAACCAAGACGACCACTTGTTTGTACAAGAAGGAACCACCACAGAGCCCATGAAAGGAAGACTCACTGCTCAGTAGTGTTGACTGCAGTGAGACAACTTGCTGACTTGTCATGGTCAGAATGTTGTGAGGGCTTGGTGGCTTGGTGAATCCAGGATAAAGGACATGCATATTTGCTTATGACTCTGGCCTTGCTACAAAACAGGCACACGGCCCCTCTGTCCTCCTTCCTCTCTTGCTTCCTCCCTCCTTCTTAAGTATCCCTGCCTTCCACAGTGTGTCAGGGCAGTGTCAGCCAGCAGTTAGCAGTGTCCTGTGGGATTGTAAGCACGGATCAGGAAAGTTTGGTAAATGCAAACGACAGAAAACTGCTTGCCCATCTCTGGTCTAGAGCAATAATTTTATCTTTACTGATCTCAGAATGAGTCCCTTTCAGTGTGGGTCCTCCCCATACCAGGCTTCCAGTACAGTGTTTAGTGCTAAAATCTTAATCTGCCAAGTCACTTGAAAAAAAAAAGGAGACAATTCACCAGCATCACAGTATTTGCATATTAATTTGGCAATTGATTTGACATCATGCAGTGGATCCTAAAATGTGCTTGTAAAGCATCTTTAGGTCCACACGCAAGACCTGAGCTGTCTCTGAGTTTCTCCCTCCAAGGCTGCCATCTTTGACCACTGAGTAAGCTCAGGGCCCACAGGTGGTGACCCTCAGGGACCATGGGAGGTCCTATCAATGGCTGTTTACTTGGAGCATTTCACTGAGTTTGGATTTGAGTAGGCTGGGGTGCAATATTTGCCTGGCCTCCTGCTGCTCCGTAACACTGGGGAACTTTGTGCAGACAGAGGGATGTCCCGGAAACCTGAGGACCTTTATGTGCGACGTCACACAGCGAGGATGAGACTGTCCAAGTATGCAGCGTACAACACGTACCACCACTGTGAGCAGTGTCACCAGTATATGGGCTTCCACCCCCGCTACCAGGTAGGGGTCTCAGTCCACTTCCAGCAGCTAGTGCTGGTGTGGCCCCCTGACCCACACCTGGTTCTCTGTTTTCATTCCAGCATGAGAGATGTGAATTCTAGGAACTCTGGCTTCCTGGTCTGCAGGCGTCCTCCGTTTCCGTTATAATCTGTGAATTTATCGCTGACACTTCAGAACAGCATTTCTCCTGGGGTTTCTCACATGCCAGAGGTCAAAGTTCACTGTGGTGTCATCGCCGTCTTTAGCCTTAGTGATTCCAAAAGTCAGTTTGGTGCTGTGGACACTCACTGAGTGTTTGCTATGAACCAGGCCCTGGGATGCAGACACAAACAAACTTTGTCCTCATACTCAGGGCTCAGTCTGGGAGGGAGATGCACACCTAAGCAAGATTCAGAGCAGCATGAAGCAGGAAAGAAGGGCAGTATGGTTGAGGCCTAGAAATCATACATGGGGGAGGAATTTGCCTTGTTGAGCACCTGGCATGTGCCGGACAGTGAGCCTGGGGACTTCTCATGTCTCACTCTTTCCCAGCGTTTTACATGATGGAAAACATTTGTCCTGGACACTCATGTGGATAAGGCCTCTGGCCCAGAGTTCTCACTGGCCACCTGGCTGATCACCAGGAGTTTGCATGCAAGCCACACCTGTAATCTATCAGGTGCATTGACTGAGAAGCTGTCCTGTCTGGTTTCTTTCTTAATTCTCACATAATCTCATTATCCCCATTTTATACGTGAAAATCCAAGTTGACCATCTGTAATCAGAGGATTCAAAATCCATCACCAACATGAGGCTTGCAATGATTTGGATTTTAGAGCATTTGGAATTTCAGATTAGGGATGCTCAACTGGTAAAGTCTATGCACATAGACTGAAAATCTGAAAATTCCCAAATCTGAAACACTTCTGGTCCCAAGCATCTCTGATCTCAGATAAGGTATTTTCAACCTTTACTATTTCTGGTTGGGAGCAGAGAGGATTTTTCTTTTTTTTTTTTTTTTTTTTTGTTTCTGTGCTAGAGTTTGAACTCAGGGCCTACACCTTGAGCCACTTCACCAGCCTCCCCTCCTTTTTTTGTGATGGGTTTTTTCCGAGATAGGGTCTCTCGATCTATATGCCCAAGCTGGCTTTGACCCGAGATCCTCCTGATTTCTGCCTCCTGAGTAGCTGGGATTATAAGCATGAGTCATTCGTGCCCAGCTGAGATTTTTTTTATATATGTATGGATTTGAACTCAGGCCCTCCCACTTGCTAGGCAGATGTGCTACAATTTTAGCCACGTCCCCAACACTTTTTGCTTTGGTCATTTTTTTGAATAGGGTCTTGCAGTTATGCACAGGGCCAGTCTATACTTCGATCCTCCTAGTTACGCTCCCTGCACAGGTGGGATAATAGGTGCACATCATCACACCCGCCTTTTATTGGTTGAGATGGGGTCTCATGCAATTTCTACCTAGGTTGGCCTCAAACCATAACCAGTTCTCTTGATCTCTGTTTTCTAAGTAGCTAGGATTACAGGTGTGAGCCATTGCACCTGGCCAGAGAGGATTTTTTTGAAGGATCAGTAGGAATTTGCTGAGAGGCCCAGGAGGCGAAAGGAAAGGGAACAGCGTGTGCAAAAGAGGGGTGTCCCAGGGCCTCTGGGTGGGGGGGATGAGAAGTGACCTTGGTTGGGTGTTGCTGGAGCACAATGTGTAAGGACTGGGGGTGTGAGGAGTGGAGCCAAGAGGGTGAGCAGAGACCAGACTTCAGAAGGCCTTGTGCACTTGGGGAGGCTCGTGGGCTTGTTCAGCAGAATTCAAAGGAGGGCCTGTGGTGGGAGAGACCACAGCTTTGAGTAGTCTCTGAAGAGTCTGTGGATGTTTTCAGAGGGCTGTGAGGCTGATTGCTTATAGACAATAGTGTTTGTATATTTAAATTTGTTTTAATTTCAGACCCACACAAGGGAAAAGGAGAGGAAGGAGAGGGTTGGAGATGGTAGGAGTTGGGGGAGGGTGGAACCTGCACAGGGAGCAGAGGCGGGCAGGTGGCCCATGTCCTTGGCACTTCTGAATAGTCCTGAGGCAAGAGCCTGGGCCACTCTCACATCCCTTTTGTACAGGGAAAAGGGCCATGGCTTCATTTCTCCCAAGTCTGCCCGACCTCGAATTTAGCGGCAGACAAACTGGCCCCTGCCTTCTGTGGCACTAATGCATTTTAAGTATGCCATTTTGCTGTGGATGGTTTTTAAAGGATCAAGACAGTCAGTGATCCCATAGGCTCCAGATGAGCCCTTTAACATTTTCTCCACCTCAGAGATGATGTTTTTCTTTCAAGGAAGAGAAAAGATACATGTGAAAATATTTTCTTGATTTTGAAATTCAAAGAACTGAAAAGGGCTGAAGGATTTTAGTTACTATTTCAGCAAGTTTCAGTGGGGAATTGATACTCAAAATAAGGGATCGCTCCCACCCCCAGGCTGCATTAGTGGAAGTGCAGAGCTGTCCTGTGTCTGGCTGTCTGGACCACACCTGGCCTGCGTTCACAGGGGGTTAGTCTGGGGGCCCCAGTTCAAGAGGAGCATGCCTGGGATGGTGAGGGGACTTGGAGCCAGTCTAGCAAGTGATGTTGAGACCCATGCCAGCTCCAGGCTGCTATTTCAGCCCCCGTATCTCCATTCCCTCTCTCCTTTCTTTCACTTTCTGGGGCTTCCCTGTCCTCTTTTTATGAAAGTCCTCCCTTGCATCCTTCTTCGCCCACCCCAACGCCAGGTCTGAAATCTCTTGCTCCCTCCTCTTTGCTCCAAAGAGCCTGGGCAGAGAGTGAAGTGGTGCATGCTGGGCGGCTACCTTCCTCTGTAGCCACAGGAGTGCATAGCTCAGTAGGAGGGCCTTTGGTAGAGAGCCAAGGCTGCCTGAGCAGAAGGCAAAGCCAGGCTGGGAATCATGCTAGAGAGACACAAGGGTGTGGAGAGTCTGAAAAGGACAGACTGGAATGATAATCCTTCCTAGATTGTTAGTGACAGAGCAAAGGGATCAGGTCTGGCGTGTGCTACAACTGAAGTGTACTAACTTATGTAGTTATTATTATTGTCTTATTAATAAACGATTGCACTGATACCTGTGATGGAAAATACACTTAACTAGAATTAAAAATGATATTTATGGTGTGAATGCTTTATTTGGCAACCCAGATGGGGCTCTAGGTTAAATCCAGAGTCCAGAGGGGCTTGGTGCCAGTAGTGACAGGACTAAATGAAGCATGGTCAGGGTTCAGGATGGGGACAGGCTCTAGCTATGTACCTGTGGCTTGGGTGGCCCAATAGCTGGACTGGACATCTATGTTCTATGCTGAAGCCACCCTGTGAGTTTCTTGCACTGTGGGGCAGAGGTGGCCGTGGTTGTACATTGTCATAGCCAGGCTGGGCCTGGGTTCTTCTGGGAAGTAAGTCAGACTCTGATGACAAGCTCTGTCCTTTCCCCTCACCCCTCAGCTCTATGAGTCCAGCCTGCACGCCTTTGCCTTCTCTTACTCCATGCTAGGAGAGGAGATCCAACTCCATTTCATCATTCCCAAGTCCAAGGAGCACCATTTTGTCTTCAGCCAACCTGGAGGCCAGCTGGAGAGCATGCGCCTGCCCCTCGTCACAGACAAGGTACTGGCTTGGAGCTCCAGTGGGGCAACTCAGAGTACCTTTGGTAGATCACTGAGCTGGGGTCCTACACGCATAGCTGCCTGAGGGATCAAGGGTACATGGAACAGAGTGCAGAGACAATATGGCGAGTGAACTTGGAGGAGGCTGGGGTGGGCACTCAGACTCAAGTGTGAGCCTTGTGTTATTTGAAATTGTCATTTAGTATCTCTGAGCTTTAGTGTCCTCACCTGCAAAGTTGGGCAATAACAATTCTTGAAAAAGCTTGATGTGAGAATTATTTGCAATAACCAACCCAAGGGGCGAACACAGTGCCTAGAAGGTATCATGGGCAGATGAAATGTCATTCCTCCCTCTCTTTTCTTTCATGCTCTGCTATGAAACAATGAAGAGGCTCAGGTAGGGAGAACAGAAGAATGCATCCCTCAGGATCCAACACCCAACTTCCACAGTTACTACCTGACAGCCAGCTATGTTTTACTGTCTTCTCTCTTCTTTTCCCTTCCAGTGTCATTTGGAAGCAAGTCCCTGACATCCTGTCATTTCACCCATAAGTATTTCAGGGCATGGCCCTAGCAGATACATTTCCTTTACTTATGAGGACATTGTTCTCAATGATCCCTTGTCCCTGTGGCTGCCATTCCTGCAGAGATGCTCCTCATGGGGTTGAACCTGACAGCCTCAGAGTCAACTGAGTCAACCCCAATCAATGGCCATGTGGAGGATGCTCCTCCTTCTCCAGAGTGCCAGATGTCTACCAGCTGGACTTGGCCTTGCAGACCCAGCACTATGCTGACAAGCCATGCAAATGTCCATAAGATACCAAAGAGGACTTGTTATAAGGAAGCACAGCTCTGGGTCAGGGTGTCACAGTGGCTCTTGTGGATATGCTGCAAGAAGAAGCATTTATTCATGACAGCCTCCCAGTCAGAACGAGCTATGAGCACCAGCTGTACACAGTTTTATAGCAGGTTCTTTGAGGTGTTCATAGAGAGCAGGAGCCCTAGCTCAGCCAGAGGCGCCTCTAAGGAAAGAGTTGAAGTAAGCAGTTATTTATATAAAGACATCCCAATGTGAGGGTATAAATAGTGAAGCTGCATGGGATGTCCTGTGTTCAAAGTGTGGGGAGGGTTCAAGACATACAGAAATAGTATCTAAGATCACGGGTTTCGATTCTAATATGAAAAGGCAATGGATTTGGTTAATTGATGAATGCTAGTTAGTTTTTGTTGCATAACAACCATTCCCAAATCAAACTGTTTTTGGCTTCTCATTCCAAGAGCCAGCAGTTGGGTGGGATTCAGATGGACGGTTACTCTGGGCTCATTCACACTCACTCATGTGTCTGGGCTAGCTGCTGGCAGCAGGCTGGAGGGCCATCTGTCTAGAGTGGCCTGGCTGGGATGTGCACCTCGGTTCCATTTCATCTTTCATCCCTTAGGAAGCTAGTCCAGGCTCATTTATAGGAGAGTTCTGAGAGGGTGAGACATGTGAGTCTAGGCTTAGAACTAGCATGGTGTCATTTTCCCCATATTTTATTGATCAAGTCAAGTTGCAAGTCTCTCTTGGATTAAAGGAGTGTGGAAATAGACTCCATCTTTCCATGGAAGATGCTTTCACGTTGCATCTGTGACCACATTTGCACAGATCCTACCTCATTATACTTCTACTCTGCAGAGTCATGAATACATAAAAAGTCCGACGTTCACTCCAACAACTGGCCGCCACGAACATGGGCTCTTTAACCTCTACCATGCGATGGATGGAGCCAGCCATTTGCACGTGCTAGTGGTCAAGGAGTATGAAATGGCCATTTATAAGAAATACTGGCCCAACCACATCATGCTGGTCCTCCCGAGCATCTTCAACAGTGCCGGAGTTGGTAGGTGTTTTAAATAAAAGCACGCTTAGCAAAATTCCTATGAACAAAGACTTGAGAGAACATTTTAGATATGAAAGAGTTAAACAGTTTAATCAAGCTTTTTGCTTTTGGAATTTTTAAGTTACTTTGACTTGTTTAATTTTTCTATGAATATTCTTGTTTTGGTGTTTGTTACTGATTTCTTTAATTTTCTCAGTTGTTAGAGAAGAACAGGTGTGTGTACAAATTGGAGAGGGCAATTTTCCCTGTCAGTGGGCAGTGGAAGAGGGGTGCATATGCAGACTCTGGGCGTGGGGTTTGTTATCGGGTGGGGTTTGTCCTGGATGTGAATATGGGACAGACCCAACAGGGCAGACAGGACAGACATGTCACTTGTCATTTCAGGGGCTGCCCATTTCCTGATCAAGGAGCTGTCCTACCATAACCTGGAGCTAGAGCGGAACCGACAGGAAGAACTTGGAATCAAGCCACAGGACATCTGGCCTTTCATTGTGATTTCTGACGATTCCTGCGTGATGTGGAACGTGGTGGATGTGGACTGTACCGGAGAGAGGAACAGGTGAGGTGGCCCTTGAACACCTGCCTTCTCTGCCCACAGAACCCTGAATAAGTGTGCTGCTGTATGATGAAGAATCCCCAGAGCCTTGGATGTGGCAGAAGTGGACCCCCATTCCAAGCCCAGTTTCTTTTAATTGTCAGAAATTGTTATCGAGGTATAGAATACATACAGAAACTCACACGCTACAGATTTAATACATACGTATGACAAAAAAGAAAACAAAACACATATGCAGAAAATTTCACAAGCTGAGTACACCCATACAGCCAACCCCCATGTCAAGAAACAGATGTTACAAGCCCCAGATGTAATGTCCCCAGCGGTTCTTCTCCTGGTTCCCTCCAGTTCTGGCCCTCCCTCTAGCCTTGCTCCAACTCCTGACTTTGTCTGGATTTGCAGTGTGACTTTAGGTGACACTAAAGTGTTTAAGTTTAAGTCTTTTTGGGGTCTAGTTACCCCATCTTTGAGGGTACTGACACCTACACTACAGCATATTGTGGGGATTAACTGAGCTGTAGCCCATAAATGCGTTCAGCACATGGAGTGAGAGAAAAATCTGCACAGAACAATGGTGTAAATGTGAAGTGTGCAGCAGGGTGCCCGTGCTCCTGCAGGGCTGTGCCAGGGTCAGTCCACACCAGCCTGGTCCAGCACATAGCGTGCAGGTGAAAGCCACTCTGTGCCTTGGCTGCCTGCCGGGAGGGCTTGCTGCTGTTGTGTGTCAGCTGAGGACATCAGTGTCCCTCCTTTGAGCAGGGAGTTCTCCTGGTCGGAGAGGAATGTGTCTCTAAAGCACATCATGCAGCACATTGAGGCGTCTCCCAACATCACGCGCTACGCCCTGATTGGCATGAGGAAGTGGGCCAGCAAGACAAGGGGTGGAGAGGTGCACAAGCCCTTCTCCCGCTGCCACGTGCACGACTTCATCATCTTGAATGTGGACTTGACCCAGAATGTGCAGTACAACCAGAATCGGTGAGCTTCTGGCCCAGCACCCAGCGGCCCTGAGCTCTGTCCACGGGGCTGCCTCAGGCAGACCCGACAGATGTCCCTTCCTTCTTCACCCTCAGGGCAGAGGCTCAGGCCCAGGCCTGGCTTTCCGTCCTCACCCATTTTCAGCACTGAAGAATTCTGTGCTGCTTAAGTTGGAGAGACGAGACTTCCCAGGGGTTTATTTCACTCATCAGCTCACAGGACATTTACTGTAGCAGCTACCTGTGCTGTGCACTTCTTGCATTTGGGCTCCCTCTTCAAATACATCACTTTTCAGAACCTTGAGCATTGAAGGAAACCATAATTTCCATTAGTCACTTTCTGTGTATCCATCCAGTCCATACGTGTCAGTTTTGGAGCCAGACTGGCCATCCTGCTGGAACCTACTTACTGCCACTTACAGTTTTACCGTGTGGGGGCAGGTGACTTCTCTGGGACCCTGTTTTCCTCAGACATTGGGAAATTATGGTTTTCTTTTTAATAATTGAATAGAATCATGTCTGTAAAGTTTCTCACATAATGTCTGGTGTCAGCACATGGTGTCATCCAAGGCTAGTCCTTATGGGTCCAGGGGTGTCACTATGTGTCCTGCAGCCGTCCTAGAGTAATTTATTTACTGTTGTGAGGCAGGAGCAAGGCCTATGACACATTTGACAGAGCTACACTGCAGGTGTCGAGGGAGTGGCTGGGGACACCTGAGCTGTGCCTGTCAGGTCCGCTCTCCCTCTGGTTCTGCTCAGGTTCACGTGTGATGACATAGACTTCAACCTGCGGGTGCACAGTGCTGGCCTCCTACTCTGCCGATTCAACCGCTTCAGCGTGATGAAGAAGCAGATTGCAGTAGGTGGGCACAGGTCCTTCCACATCACATCCAAGGTGAGTGTAGCCACGCTGCCAGCACACCTGTGTTCGGGTCACATCTGGGCTGCTGTGGTGTGAAAGCTGAGGGTGGAAGTTATTTGAGGGTGCCTCACTGTGTCTTTCAGGGCAGTGGGGTTGGGGTCTGATCCCTGGCAAGTGTTAACAAAGATGTCTAATTGGCACCAACCCCTGGGAAGTCTCTTCTCTGCAACTTTAGCCAGTACCCTGTAAGCTTCCACTTGGTATAAGACCACCACAGAGCCTTCCTTGTGCACTCCTGCCCACCTCATCCTGGCTGAGTCAACGAGGTACCAAGCTCTTCCCCACGCCACAGGATGGTGCTTGGCCAAAGAACTGTTTGCATGGCATGGCAGGCTAACTCAGTGGCCTGGCTCTGGGTGGAGAGATGCGATCTCAGCTGTTCTAACTGAAGAGACCCGGGCAATTCAAGATGGAAAATCAAAGCAAGTCTGGAGAGTTCTGTGTCTTCCAGGAAACCATACAGGCTGGCCTATCTCTGCCTGAAGGTCTGTTTTTCACCTTCTGCCCATCTTGAATCTTGCCCTGGTGACTCAGTCAGCTCTGATCTCAGCTTCATTTCCCAGCCCCTGTCCTGCCTGGTTTCCAGAAACTCCTTCAGAGTGATCTACCCTGAGCTATGACAGGCTTGCATTCTGATAGCAGCTCCACCCAGCTGGGCAAGCAGGGGTTGGAGCTCTCTGGGGGTGAAGCCCATTATTTCTTGGGACCTTCAGATGTGAGGCCTGTCCTACAGGAGAACTTGCAAGTCGTTAAGCCACTGCCTGGAGACACTGTAAATTGAAATTGTGTTAATTTGTATTTTAATTTACAGAGAACTAAGACCTTTACCACATTGAGTCTTCCTATCAAAGAGTCTGAGGTGCCTTTAAAATTATTTTTTTTTTATGTTCTTCAGTGTCATTTTTAAACTCTTAGGTTTTTTTTTTTAACTTTTATTTCTATCTATCTTGAACATACTACTTTTACTAGGTTTAATTGCATATTGATTATATATAGGGAAGCTAGTAATATTCTATAATCTTTCATGTGAGTGAAATCACCTAATTCTTTTCATTTGTTAACTGTGTACTGAACACTGATCACCCGGTCCTTTCGTGCGTGGTGCACAGCCTCACAGCTGAGGCAGAAGTTAGACAGTTAGTGAAGTTCCTTTGTGGGAAGCACCATGAAAGTGTAGTACATGTCACAGGGTGGCCACGCAGCGGCTGGGGGTCGGGGAGTCTGTAGGTGTCCCTGAGGGAGCCAGGAGGAGTGGAAGAGCTGGAGAAGTTTCCATTACTGGCCATGGGAAAGCTCTAGACTCTAGGAGTGGCAAGGAGCATTGAAGAGTTTCCAGTAGAGGATCTGCTTTGGGATTTATTTTATGTATTGAACACTCTCTCTAGCTGCAGCATGGACATGGTGCCAGCGACAGCCCACAGTGACAGCTGGTGGGCTCTGATGGCTGGGCAGTGAGAAGGAAAAGTGGGGAGCACATAAAGGATCTAGGGGTTGGGATGAGACTGGCCACTCCAGATGCATCTCTGGCTCTAGGAAGAAGTTCCCAAGGTCCATGGGTTCTTTGGCGTCTATGGACCTGACATTCAGTTTTCTGCATGGAGTGATCAATGTCTGTAATTCTCACTGATCTCATCGGTCTGTGTTCACAGGCCTCACTTTGGTAAAGCTTAATTCTTCTTACGAGCATCACGTGTGTTCTTAACTCACATCATCCTTCTGAGTGACACAACCTTCCCCACCTTCCAGCGTCATGTGTCTAGAGCTCTGAGGAGGTCTCTCCTGGGTGACGAGTGCCCTAATGTCCCCAATCCTCTCTGGCAGGTATCTGACAGCTCTGTGGCCATTGTACCGGCCCAGTACATCTGTGCCCCTGACAGCAAGCATACATTCCTTGCGGCTCCTGCCCAGCTTCTGCTTGAGAAGTTCCTCCAGTACCACAGCCACCGCTTCTTCCCTCTGTCCCTGAAGAACCACAGCCACCCTGTGCTGTCCGTGGACTGTTACCTTAACCTGGGACCTCAGGTAACTCAAGTACAGAGCCCACAGGGTAGAGGAACCCCTAGAATAGATGGATCAGCATCCAGAACTCTGAATCATCAGTATGCGATACCTCAGTGTCCATGCGATTGGCTCCAGGACTCCATGGGTACCAAAACCTACAGCTGCTATGGCCCTTTACACAAGATAGTATAGTAATTGCATATAACCTATGCACACCCTCCATGTACTTTAAATAATTTCTACTTTATTTATATCTAATACAACGTAAATGCTATGTACATAGTTATGCTGGGTTGTGTAGGGGCTGCTGACAATGAAAAAGTCCATACATGTTCAGTTCAGATCCAGTGTGCTCTGTGGCTGATTGAGTCCACTCATGTGAGTGGAGCCTGTGGCTTCTGAGGACCAGCTGCACTCAATCCTTTGTCTCAGGTGTTCCCTACCTGAGGCTGACAGAGCTGGATTAGTTTACCCAAATAGAAGATGCTAGGAGTCAAACCCAATTCTGATGTGAAGACATTTCTGAATCGCCAATGAATTTCTGACTATGATAGACCTGAATAAACCTGGAGTTGATTTTTAGGATGTAGATTAGGAAGATCATGGAAGTATTCCCCACCACTGTCCCGCAGTTGGTATTTGTTAGATGCTTTTAAACCCCCAGTGGCTGAGCACTTCTTGGAAAGTGATGCTTCTCGTGGGTTCCTTCTTTTTCAGATTTCTGTTTGTTATGTGAGCTCCAGGCCCCACTCTCTAAACATCAGCTGCTCTGACCTGATGTTCAGCGGGCTCCTCCTGTACCTCTGCGACTCTTTTGTGGGAGCTAGCTTCTTGAAAAAGTTTCATTTTCTGAAAGGTAATACTTCTTCTGCCCTGGTCCTTGACTTGTCTGGCTCTTATCAACTACCATCTCTGATGACAGGACCATTTAGCCTGGTCCTTACTTGCCAGTGGGTAAACTGAGGCTCAGAAAGGGAAAGAGACTGCCCCAACTATTCAGGAAAGTACTAGAAAGCTGGAACTGGACCTCAGGGGCTCTTACCCTTATACCTGTTCAGTAGAGACAAAACATATTCCTCATCTTCTGGGTGAAGGGCAGATAGTTCCCTGTCCATGTTACTTTCCTGCTCAAATCCTTTACCTCAGCACCAGGGACCCCCAGAGGCTGCTTCTGTTAGGAGAGTCCCGCAAGCTGCTAGTTTTTTCTCGACCTCTCTCCTTTTCCTGCTAGAGTGGATGAGATTGGCAAACTCTGGATAAGCCATGTCCAGACCCCTGGCTGGCCATCCGTGCTGCTGGCTTTCCTTCCTCTCTAGCAAACATTTGATGAGCTCCAGCAGGGCACAGGGCCTTGGGAAGTAGTGTGAAGTTTCTTCCACAGGCTCTGCTGTCGGAACAAATCCCCTAAAGCAAAATTGACCATGGAAGGAGAACATGTGCGAATGTGAGAATCTGAACAAAACCTGATTGATGGACTGATGTGTGATGGGAGCTGGGGAGGGAGAATTCCTGTGGCTGGATGTGTGGGGAAAGGTGAGAGCTGCCCCAGGCCTGGGTGAGTGGAGAAGAGGTTCAACTGTGAGGTGGGGGGCTGGGGGCAGGGACGTGTGAACCCAGGACTGGAGACAAGAATGATTCATTTGCAGAAGACCCATCTCTCCTCTGTTCCTGTTTGCTGGCCCTGTTCTGTTCTTTTCTTCTGCATCCATGTTGTCCTCCCACCACACCTGCCAGCTTCCAGTCTGTCTTGCTGTGATTAGAAATCACTCAGAAAGGCACAGGAGACCCATTGGTCATCTGTCCACACAGCCCCCTGTGTGTGGCAAGTAGGATCCCTGCTGCAAGTAGCTCTCTTTGGGAAGACCGCCCCCTTTCTTTTCACGCCTCTGTCATTGCATCACAGGTGCCACTTTGTGTGTGATCTGTCAGGATCGGAACTCGCTCCGCCAGACAGTCGTCCGCCTGGAGCTGGAAGACGAGTGGCAATTCCGACTGCGGGATGAGTTCCAGACGGCCAATGCCAAGGAAGATCGGCCGCTCTTTTTTCTCACTGGACGGCATATCTGAGAGAGAGAGAGAGAGAGAGAGAGAGAGAGGCTGGCAGAGCTCCAGGAGAGTGGGGTGGTCAGAGCCCTCCTGCTGCTGGGGCTGAAGGAGGTCCTGGCCCTGGGGGGGTTAGAACTGGAATAGGCCCAGGAACCTTCTGCAGCCCCTCATGGCACATGACACAGGGGGTGACTGAGAGCCATGAGGATGAATCCCTGGTGGACAGGACCCAAAGCCCAAGACTCCTGCGTCCTGATCCAGTCCTGGGTTATTTCGAAGCCCATTTTATGAAGAATGAAGTTTTGCCTACTGTTCTGCCATTTATATGCTTCCATGGACAAACCTGACTGTTTATTCTGAAGAATCTTGGGTTATCTTGTCCGGTGCTGGTATTCCAGGCAGTGGATATGGTTTTAGTAAGTAGGTTTCCTGAAACCTCCTACAAAGCAATATTCCAAAGGAACATTTTAACTGTAAAGGCTGGAGACAAGAAAAAAAAAATAAGTGGGTCATTTTAATAAGAATTATTTAATTGCCTACAAATTTGCTTTTTTTAGGAGCTAGCCCAAAGGCATCAAATTAAATAAGGCAAATGAATTGTTTTACTTCAGAGAAAATATGATTCTGTTAAAATAGCATAGGGTAAATACCTCTTAGAAAGGACAAAATTGCAAAGAAGATTTCTTTAAAAGGGCTTTAAGGAGAAAATTAATGTTATAGAAAATTGATCTTAAATTTGCCTTACAAAGGAAAGAGGACCAAATTTGTTACTTGATAAAAAAACAGTAAAAGCAACCAAAGTGATATGTAATATAATTAAGAACTAGACTTATGACTGTAATTTATTGAAGCTCAGTTTTCAGTTGCTTGAATAGCCTGTTTTCTCATATTTGTGCTTGGTTCCTTTGGGGAGAATCTCACCTGGTCAGAGAGAAGCAGGTGGGTGTGTGCCATGAATTCTCATTCACGGCTGGCTCGGATGCTGTTTAAGCAGCATCTTAGAGCGCCACCTGTGGGCCAGGTGCTGGTACAAGATTATCTTGAATCATTTGCACATCCTGTGCATTTGGAATTACTGTTCCCATTTGAAAGATGAGAGGGTGAGATGTGAAGAGTGCACCTCACCAAAGCCACACAACTGGGAAGAACTAAAGCACAACTCAAGGTCCTGGTTTCAGGACTCCTGACTCCACAGTCCAGATCTCCACCCCACTCCGCACTGCTTTTGAAGTAGCCACAGCTAAAGGAAAAGTTTAAAGATACTGAAAAATTGATCATCAGAATGCATTCTTCCATGTCCACCTAAGGCATTTCTAAGCAGTGTGATGGGTGACAATCCAAGAAGAAACTGTTTCACACGATGAGGCCAAAGAGTTAGTGTCAGTCTTTTTTTCCCCCTAAGAAAAAGTCTACAAGTATAAAATATTTAGATCAGTGTTTATAACATAACAACTTTGTATGTGTTATTATTCCTATTCTGGAGTAAAAACTGTCTTTACATTTGTCTGATATAAATAGCAGCTCCTGTGTTATTCTCCCATTTTTATTAGCTAATTTAAACTTTAAAAAAACCTCAAGCTTATACTCTTGTCTGTCCCAGTCTTATAAATAAAACTTATAATGCTCTTATTGGTGGGTATTAATTGCATCATTTTGAGAGGCTGTTGTGTGGCTAGTGATCTCCAGGGACTACCTGCTTGAAATATCATTGCATGAGAGTACAGTTTTGGAAAGAAAACAAGAATAAAGCCATAGAAGTCCAATTTGTTAACACGTCGAGAAATATCTGGAAGAGAAAAGACAGAATGGAACGTGTAGAAAGAAAATACGGAGGGAGCTAGAGCTCAAAATGTGCAGAGCAGCCTGCCACAAAGGAAAAGCCACTCAGCTTCCAAGTGGCTGCAGAGGTGGCAGGGCCAGGGACATTTGTCAGGACGATGAACAGAGGAAGCAGCTAGACAGTTTGAATCCCATGTGTTTGGAAGGGAGGTTCTGAGATGGAAGGAGCCAGGGTCCCAAACAGAGATCCCTTCTCCTTTTCAATGATGTTCTATGATGAGAACCAGTAACTTTTTCTTTTTTACTAATTTAAGCTACTGTGATTTCAGGATTCACTTGTTACTTTGACACAGCCTAACCTACCTTGAGTAATAGTCTCTGTGAGCTGTGCCCTCAAGAATTATGCCACTTGACAGTCCCAGATGTTCCAAAAATCAGATGCCAACAAAATATAGATGCCCTCTCATTTGAATATCAATCCTCTTCTATTTGTAAATTGAGGGGCAAAACCAAATTTCCTCAATTCAAGTTCAAAGACATTGGACTAGTGGAGTGGCTCAAGCAGTAGAGCACCTGCCTAGCAAGTTGAGGCCCTGAATTCAAACCCTAGTATGGCCAAAAAAAAAAAAAAAAAAGTTAACAATGACACTAAAATACAAAAGAAGCAAAATTGGGTTACAACCCCAAAGAAATTATGTGTATTCTTTAAGGTTAAGGTCCACCCTGACTTTATTTGCTATCTTCTTAGGGATGGTCTGTCTAGATGCCTGGTAGAATTGGGGTTCCTTCAGCGGCTGCAGGCAGAAAACCTAGGCACATGAATCCTCCCAGCCATCTGAGGTCTGTTGGTGCATGGAGAGTTTTTTGATGTTCCCCAGTGTTTAGATCCAGTGTGTTCAAAGAACTCGGGATTATCACGACACTGGCCTTTCACTCATAGCATTTAGGAAACAAGACAACTGCAGTAAGCATTTTCTCAGGCAAAATTATGTTCCTAGAGTGCACTTGAATGTTCAAAAAGTCCTTGAGGACACCAAGTAGTATCTCAGTAAAACAGCAGAAGGGCAACTTTTCTGTTTCGGCCATGCCTGTGGTCTGGAACCTGTGATGTCTCCCATTAAGGGCAGGGTGACGCTCTTTTCCTCCCTAGGGACATTCCACTGCTGGTTGCTGTCTTCTATCCCATTTGGAGGCTTTGCTCCCTTCTTGTGAAGTTGAGAAATTTCTTAGCAAGATGGTGCCCTCATCAGCCCCATCGCAGCAACAGTATTCGTGGGCTCACCCCATGTGTCACTTCCCTCCTGGGTGGTTCACAGTGGTCACCACGGGCAGAACGTTTAATTGTGGACTTGCTTGGGGCAGTGGAATCTGTGAAGGCCAGTGTCTCTTACATGCTCCCACCTTCCCCTTTCCTCATCCTTGGGTCTCCTGGCCTTTGGTTTTTCTCTCTGCTACATTTTTCCCTACTTGGTAGAATGTGTTTGTGTCTCTTTTCCTCCTGCCATTTCTTGTAGTCTTTTCCGAGAGGCTCGGTGCTGATTCCAAGCTGCTTACCTGGACCTCTTTCTTCTCTAGCCTCAGTAGGGCTAGGACAAGAATGTTTAATTCTGGGTCCGAGTGCCTTTTAAAATTCCTTTTGTTTTGTGCCCAGGCATTTGGTCTTGTTGGACTTCGTATAGTGAGAGAGATGAATCGGTGAGTTTGGTATCTGCGGATTCTATCTGCTGTACAAACAAAATGTGTTCATTTTAACTTATTTTAATAAAACACATATTTATCACTGAGCACTTTCTCCTCCCCTTTTCTAACTCATCTTTGTAGATGGTGGGATGAACCATCCAGGAGGTACTTTGTAGGTTGACCTCTTGATCTACACACATTCTGTCTGGCTCCTGTAATAAGCCTCTGTTGGCTGGACCTCCTTAGAATTCATGTTCCATCCATTTCTTGGGACAACTCTCCTGGAACGCTGGCAATGCATATGTCCACTTATATCCTGTATTTCCACACAGAACCCAGAACTCGGCGAACAGTGTTTGGACACCGTTGTGTCCCTGGGCTTTCTCTTTCACTCTTAGACATGTCCCAAACATTGTGTAACTTTTTGGCATAGCTGCTCCATTTTTGTTGTTATTTTCTTGTTTTTGCAATGCTGGGGAATCCAGCTGAAGGCCTCACACATGCCTCAAGTGCTGTGCCACTAGGCATGTCCCCAGCACCACAGCTATCCCAATTTTAAGGAGACAGTTGTCCCACTTGTTCTCCAATCATTCTTACTACACAGCGTATCTGTAGCTTTCAAAGTTGAATCTCCTGCGTCTCCTGGACCCTGGTCCCCTGGCAGGAACATGCGTGGCTGCTCTTCTGGCTGATGGATTTGGTTTCCCTCACCATTTCTGATCTTATACTTCACTTACACCTTCCTGGAGAGAGCTGGCTCCAGGTGATCTCTAGATCCCTGTGGTTGTCTACACCGGCCTTCAGTGTTTCACTTTCAACTCAGCAATCTGCTTTGTCCCCACAGTTCTCAACCTACTGCTAAGAAAATCTCTCTCACTGTCGCTGGCCTGCCGCCCCTTCTTTTGTTCTTATTCCTCTCTGTTCTTATTGGTGACATAGACGCCAAATGCCAAACCACTCTAGCTCCTCCTAGGCAAGCTGGATTTTGTAGAACTAAGTGTTCTGGCACAACAGTGAAAAATAATGAGGTGGTTCTCAATATATCGACACGGAGAGACTGATCAGAGAAAGTCTAGCCTTTGATTTACGTTTAAACATTCCTAGGTATAAGCTACATGTGCATTTTTTCATATGCATAGAAACAGCTGGGAATGGTTGACAATGGCTCCTTTGAGGAACAGTCAGGCAGTGAGGTGTGCTGAAGAGGGCATCCATACTTTCCTCTGTCCTTCCATGTGGTTTGTCTCTTTTACAATGAAAGAGGACTTGTATACTTTTTTAAAAAATGAAATTCCCAGCTGGGCACAGTAGCTCATGCCTATAATCTCAGTGACTTGAGAGCTAGAGATTGGGAGGCTTGTGATTGAAGGTTAACCTGGGCAAAAAAGACCCCCATCTCAATAAACAAAGCAGGGTGTAGTGGCATGTGCCATTATCCCTGCTTTGTGGGAGGTCCAGGCTAGCCCCGGCAGAAAAATCCCAAGACCCTATCTGAAAAATAGCTAAAGCAAAAAGGGCTTGGGGTGGAGCTTAAGTGGTGGCCTAGCAAGCACAAGCCTTGT